GTATGGCCGACAATAGACAGATTTGTTGTTCTCTGCAATGTTCTTAAGTAATACGCGCAGACGCAGAAGAATATTCCCGATTGTGCAGGAGGCTCCACTTTAGTTGTGATCAAGGTCTGTGATATCACCAATCCAGATTACTCGCAATCCGGAAACTCAGTTTTAACCAAAAAAAGATGCATTGCTACATCAATTGTTATCTTTTTTTTCCGGAAGTGGTTAACGTCCATGATGATCAATTTGTTTTTTTTATTAATGTCCACTAAGCAGACGACACACAGGGGCGTTTCTAGGATATTTGAAAGAGGGGGCGTAGAATCAAATCTTTCGCCGAGCGGAGCGAGCGAGGCGAAAAAAAATTGGACCTTTTTTTAGCTAAAAAACATAAAATAATTGTGAAATGCACTAATGTAACGGTTCCTGACTTGGAGCATGTATATTTTATAGTTAAAGTGTCAGGGTGTTTATGTGTTTAATTAATGAATATGATAAATTGCCATATTCAATAAAATATTAGCAGATTACGATATTTTTTAATTTTTATTTTTTTGAAAAGGTAAATATACAGAGTGAATTGTACGCCCATTACGCCCTCACCTAGACCCGCCCCTGACACAGATATCTATCCCCGATTGTGCAGGCGACCCAGATTATTCTCCTCTTACGACATCGTTCTGTGGGATACTGCAGGACGAAGTTGTTATCTTAAATGCGGTTGTCAAAATATTTTAAAATAAGTGTTACCTTTTAAAAAGAATGGTCCCCTGTATATGATTTCTTATTATCAATTATATATATATATATATATATTGTATCGTGTCACCCAGCTAACGCGAATATCTATTTTAATTCCAAACCCTTCATCGTACACCACTCACACACGCTATACTCTCTAATCATCATTATATATCCTTTTCTTTTGTTTACTATTAAATAACATGCTGTTTAAATTAAAACCTATAAATGTAGTATTTTGTTATGAAATTTTATTACAGCGACATTTTTTATTTTTTTTTTACATTTGTGTCTGTTAATAAATTGAAAACGTTTTGATGTGTGATGTAATGTTAGTTATCACATATAATGATGGTACTGAGCATTTGTTTATGTAATAGAATATTGTTTATATCCGTAAAGCTGTGTATGCAGTATTTTTGAGAGAAAAAAACCGCTTCGGATAAACCAAGCGTCACAGAGAACTTTGTACCAAAAAAATGGGGCAAAATATTTTTAACTGGGATATAAACTGTATATTTATTTCCCGACTAAGCGGTGCATAACCATTACGGATGCAGTAGGAATATAGTGACACAATTGTTTCTGGTCCCGCGGTAGACCACTGCGCCTAATTAACTCAACTGTGTGGGGGGCGACGGTCACTAGGGGGCGATTCAAGGGAGATAACCTTCACCCCTCATCGCAGATGTTAGGAAGTGATAAATGACGAATTCCGGCATGTGTTCATAACCGTATCTCCATCTAAGGTCTCGCATCTGAATCTAAGCAAACGAGTGTTTTGAATAACATTTGCAGACATAACCCGATATGACCAGTCAGCTTCGTTTAGAAATAATGACGAAATAATGACAAATTTATTTGGACATGTATGGGCATAATCTTTTGAAAACTTCGTCAACGGTTCCTACTGTTTGAAACAAACAAATTTGAAATGAACGGCATTCTTAATAGCACGTGTCTTCATGGCGATTTTTTTCTAAAAATGTATCTTCTGAATACTGACGATGCTTTGATTTTGAGATAACTTTATTTCGGTAGTATTTAAGGTGACGAGTAAGAAGATGCGGACGGGAACATACACGCCATCTTGTGTTTTGGAGGTAATTAAAATAAAAAAATCACCTTTGGTTGATATAAACAGAAAAAATATAGCCGAAAATCTCAGTAAACCTTCAATTACACTGCAGATTGTGTGGCATCAGATTAAAGGGTCTATACATGTTCCGAGGACTGAGGAGGGAAATTAGGCGTTACATACATGTACTGATACCGTTATCTACCACACAGGACACACATCAGAACCAATACATCTCGGACCTGTTGACAAGCTTCCTAAGAACAACGTATTTTGATTCCTTCCCATACGTAGTGTAAAATATCCAATATCTTATACGTCTGGGATTAACAATTTATCTATTGTTTCTCACTCATTCGAAAAATAAATGTTCCCGTGACTTGCTGACGTCACCACAATATCAAAGATCGACTTCTGTCTTTATATTCTGAAGGAAGATTCATGATAAAGTACAATAAATGTTATGTTTGTCTGTATGCTTTTTTAGATATAAATTATCATTTTCAGAGATCATCGTAAAAACAAGCTGACTTCATATTTTAAGATTTCATAACAATAAACTGAAACTGACCTTGATATTATCTTTGACACTAATCTTAACCTTCACCTTGACAATGACCTTGACATTGGGCATCTGTTCTGAAAGCATGCGTTGTACTTGTGTAAAGAAAGTGATGTTTGAATTTAAATAATTGTTTAACTTTTTCTTAATGTTTGCTGTCAAAAACGTTACCAGTTGTTGTTCTTCTTAAAACAACAAAGATATCCGTCGTATTTTTTTCTTCTTTTTTTCTCTTCTCAATATCGCTAATCCCTATTTTTTCTGGGGCACTATGTGTGTATTTTGAAGTTGAAGTATATATAACTTGATCAAGATTTAAGATGTTTCACTCATCAAGACAAAATACTTAGAACAATGTGTTGCTTATTATATTTTATTTATCACATGCTGCACTATGGTATCAAGTGAATATACCCATGTCATAATTTGTTTGCGTATTAACCCAAGTAATATGACCTATCAGCCCTGTGAATGGTTGAAAGTTTTAATTGTGACGTCACGCCTAGTACATGACGTCATAGACTTCCGTACTGGAGTCAAAATTGCGGCTTTTTACATTTCAAGGTTGCATGAAGATTGTCGTTTTACACGAATACATGCCACAAATCTTGATTATGTGATTATTATATTTTGTTTATTTTGTCTTTATTATTTTCATGAAAGTCCTGCAAGTTATGGTTTGCTTATCAGAAAAGATTTATCAAAGCTAAAGTTATGACGAAAAATAAATCTGTTTCAAATGCCTAGGTACAATTTTATTTTTGCAGCGGCGCGATGATCCGTTAGTGGATATTTCAACCCCATGTAAATACAATAGGGACATAGTTCTATGTTATATATTGTACTCAAAACTCATCGCTACCATTATTGGGATCTAAGCGTGTTACCTTGACTCATACTCAGAATTTGACAACAACAAAACAATATTTCCAATTTTTTCGGACAAATTTATTTAACTAAATAATGATGAGGTCAAGGGTGTCTTTATGTTTTGTTTTAGATTATAAATATTATTATCGTTTCGATTTATTTTACACTTTTAATTACAGCCTATGATATTTTCAGGAAACTCACAAATTTCACGGTATCTATATATGAATAAGGATGCATAAATAAACGATCAAAACTAGTACATAATTACACGAGTTGGACATTTTATTAGATCCCTTTTTCAATTATTTTATGATAGGTCTAACTGACATCACTGACGTTTTGTTCTGCTCATAGCAATATAGATCCACTATCTTCGTGGACATTGTGTAATGGTCTACTTCGAGATTTTGTAATTTACATATTACGGAAGCACTGAATCTTATTAGAACCTCGTTTTCATATCCAGAATTAGCATTAATTACACATATAAATGTTGTTGAGGGATGTTTGTGAAAAAGAGTAAACAAATATTCCGAGCGAAGAAACGGGCATTTCCTACTCTCGTTCTCAGGGAACTTGTTTCCTTTGGTAAATATATTATTCGGGAAATATCCTAGCTTTCGACCAGGAATATTATGCATTTGACGCTGCTTCCAACTCAATGAAAGTAATTTATTTCAATAATAGACGTACAATTATGTGTCAGATATTGTATTATTTTGCATCTAAATAACGCTTAATGATTAATATCACAAAGTATTTATTATCAAATATTCCAATATATACGAACCCCCTCCCCCCCCCCCCCCCCCCCCCCAACTAATTTAGCTCGCGAAAAAGATAAAAATGTATATTATACCCGTTTCTTAATTCTAAATTAATATTCATGTATGATTCTGTATTTTCCATTAACATTTTGAAGCGTAACAGCAACATTCTAATTTCTAAAAATACATTATTCTATAAATAGTATGAAGGCCCAGCTTTAGGGTACGCTGGACACCAGTACATTTGTACGTATTAAACGCCCTGTTGAATTACACACAAAAACCCCACCTCACTCATCAGTACACCCCTTCTATCTTTTTTCTAAGTTATCACCGTATTGACTAATTAATGAAAGGAGTTGGGTAATTTAAGTGTAATTCATTAAGGCGTTATCTTATCTTATTCTTGTGCACGATTTACAAAATGTTCTAATTCTTTTCAATCATTACATATTAACATAAATTGTGATCAATTCTAGTGTGGTTAAAAGACAAGATTGTTTGTTTACTTATTTAAGATGCAAAAAAAGAAAATTGACACGAAATATTGCTTGCTCTGAAAGCAAGTATGGTTAATTACGAATCTAAGTGGGAGGATATTATTTCAAATCCTACAAATACGTTATAATTATCTGTTATGAATTGATAATGATAAATATAGGATGTTCCGAGTGAAGTGGGAAGGATTGGGTCTTGTTTTAGCGATGCGGGACCAATGAGTTCACGAACACCCTCATTAAAACTTCACATCGTTCCCGATAAGAAATGCTCCTCCGTCACCTGTGAGATCTCGCTCCCCCTCCCCAATTTTACACCCCTCCTCTTCTCTTACTCGCCCCTAATCAAATCAGACACATATGGGTGTCAGAATGTGGCTGTATATCACAGTAAACCCTCCCCCCTTGACAACACGTTTATGATGGGGAGGAGCTGCGAAGTGCCTCCTCGCGGTGGAGGAGTGACGCGGCTGGAGGTGTCCCGGAGACATGTACACCCTTGGTGGTTTGGTTTGTCCGGAGTACCACCCAGACACCAGTATGTGGACACACAACTATTTTCACGATGCCGGACTTCTGAATTTTTCTACGAAGAAACCCTCTTTTCACGTTACGGATATATTGCATGTACACAGCGGAACCACGCCCCTACTGTCGTGTCACCCGCCGGGCGTGCTTCCCCCGGGGTGCCAGCAATCCCCCTCCGCTCTCGGGCCCCTGAAAGCCTTTTGTACCACCAAGAGAGTACAGCGGTATGTGACGGATGGGGAGGATCGAAGAACCAGTGAATCCCGGGCCCCGGGGGTGACGGGACAATCCAAACATCTTAAATTCGGAATCAACAGAATTTTATCGGAGGATTTCGGCAGGAAATCTAGCGAGAAAGGTGAGGGATTAAAATTAATAAATTCATTTCAAGAATGTAAATATCATCAACAAAAATATTTATGATATTTGCAATGTTAAGTTTTAGCTATTTAGTGACTGCCCCGTATTAACATATCATTATGGCAATAATACCTCGTTAATTTTAGATGCAGGTACCAAAGCTTTCTTTAAAGAAGCAGTTAAGGAATCAAAAGTTGGTTGAAGTAATATAATTTTTGATCACAATGGTTGTTGATTAAAGATTAAACGATCGCCATTTTCCCGGAATCACCGTCCCATATTACGGGATAAAATAATTCATTAATTTATGTCTGATACAAATTGCTTCTTAATTGATGTAAAAATATTCAAGTTTATTTTTCAAATTAATGTACAAAAAAATGTCGTAGTGGACTGAACATAATTTAATTATTGCTTAAAAATATAATAATTATGATAAATACGGAATGAACATAATGTTTTCCTGAAATAGAGAAAAGAAACAGATGATGAAAATACATACCGAGACACACAGCTATGAAAGCGTCAATGACGATAACCAACATGTGACATTTATGGGAGGAATACATTTGCCTATAAATGTATGTGGTTTAAAAAGATCTGTTTAATATCTAACATAATTTGACGCCGAAATCCAACAATCCGGAATAGGTTTTACTCAATATTAAAATAATAATGTATGTTAATGCGTAAAATCCCGTGCTAGTGATTTAACATACTCTACATGTAGTCGTTTATAAGCTAGCTAGAGCTCAGTGCTTTTAATAGATTATATATATGTTGTCAGCAACGTCACATCAATTACAAACGTCTGTTAAACGTTGACCAGGATACTGGTCGCTGACACACTTTACATTAGCTTCTTATAACGAATCGTATAACACACACATTATCGTAAGAATGACTAGGTAAAAAAGATAACAGAAAATTGACAACTGAACCAGGTATATACAGGGAATACAGTGATAACCGACTTAGGTAGATACATGAAATACACGGTGACAACTGACCTAGGTAGATACAGGAAACATACAGGAAAAATACGGTGACAACTGACCTAGGTAGATACAGGAAAAAAACCGGTGACAACTGACTCCGGTAGATACAGGAAATACACAGTGATAACTGACCTAAGTTGATACAGGAGATACACGGTGATAACTGATTTAGGTAGAAACAGGTAAGGTACGGTGACAACTGACCTAAGTAGATACAGGAAAAACATGTTGGCAACTGAGCTAGGTAGATACAGGAAATACACGGTGACAATTGACCTAGGTAGATACAGGAAAAACACGGTGACAACTAACTCAGGTAGATACAGGAGAAACACGGTGACATCTGACGTAGGTAGATACAGGAAAAACACGGTGACAACTGATCTAAGTTGATACAGGGGATACACGGTGATAACTGATTTAGGTAGAAACAGGAAAAGTACGGTGCCAACTGACTTAAGTAGATACAGGAAAAACACGGTGACAACTGACCTAAGTTGATACAGGGGATACACGGTGATAACTGATTTAGGTAGAAACAGGAAAAGTACGGTGCCAACTGACTTAAGTAGATACAGGAAAAACACGGTGACAACTGATCTAAGTTGATACAGGGGATACACGGTGATAACTGATTTAGGTAGAAACAGGTAAGGTACGGTGACAACTGACCTAAGTAGATACAGGAAAAACATGTTGGCAACTGAGCTAGGTAGATACAGGAAATACACGGTGACAATTGACCTAGGTAGATACAGGAAAAACACGGTGACAACTAACTCAGGTAGATACAGGAGAAACACGGTGACATCTGACGTAGGTAGATACAGGAAAAACACGGTGACAACTGACTCAGGTAGATACAGGAGAAACACGGTGACATCTGACATATGTAGATACAGGAAATACACGGTGACAACTGACCTAAGTTGATACAGGAGATACACGGTGATAACTGATTTAGGTAGAAACAGGAAAAGTACGGTGAAAACTGACCTAAGTAGATACAGGAAAAACACGGTGACAACTGACCTAGGTAGATACAGGAAATACACGGTGACAATTGACCTAGGTAGATACAGGAAAAACACGGTGACAACTGACGTAGGTAGATACAGGAAAAACATGTAGACTAAAGACCTAGATAGATACAGGAAATACACGGTGACAACAGACCTAGGTAGATACAGGAAATACACGGTGACAACAGACCTAAGTAGACACAGGAAATACACGGGGACAACTGACGTAGATGGACAGAAAATACACGATGACAACCGGCTTAACTAGATAGAAACAGGAAACACACCGTGAACCTTACCTAGAAACAAGATGTATTATATAGACACATTTCCCAAGTAGATACAGGTAATATACTGTGAACACCTGCACAGGTAATATAATATTGACTAATGGTAAAGTAGATTAAGAGCATACACCAAGACACGTAAACTAAGTTTAAAACCCTGATTATGTTTTAGCTCACCAGTGCAAGTTACAATGCAAGCAATATACAATATCATGTCAGATAGATACTGGTAATATACTGCTGTTACCTGCCCTAGGTAGATACAGGTGAGACGATTCAAACACCTGCAACAGGTAGATACGGTTAATGTACTATTGACATCTGCCCAAAGCAGGAACCTTCTGTATACACTGTTAGCATGTCAGTACCCAAAGTAAACCGATTCATACTATTCGCCCTAAGAAGATGTTTGCAAAAATAGTTTGAAATTTTATGTATGGCTGGACATTTACTGACAAATAATTTAGATACTTATTCCGAAGATAATTTAAATACTTAACTAAAAGATAATATAGAAAACTAATTAACTAGATAAGATACGTTACAAACACATACAGCGGAATTTTGTCCAGTAGATGCATCGGATACTTAAATAATAAAACATATTGGATATTTAGTTCAGTAATAAATACCAAAGATGTTTAGTCAAGTGATACATATACGGGGAATTTAGTTCAAAAGAAATTTCACAAGATATTTAGTTCAGTAATAAGTAAGACCGCTATTTAACTCAAAACTAAATACAGCTGATATTAAGTGAAAACAATGCTTTAAATTCATAACTAAAAAAGTCCCCTACAATTTTTAGAAACTCATTCCTAAATGACAATATTGAAGGGTTCAGTGTATGGTATACTAAAGACAAGTACAGTATCTAATATATACCCTAGGCACGCATACAACACTTATTCTTCACTGGGAAATACGCTGGAAATTTAACGAATTGATTAAAACTTAATTGATGAAAACATGTAAAACTGAAAAGGACGCTTTTGACAGTCAGATTTACTGAGGTATATCTTGGACGAACAACTGGTATCACAAACATTTAACAACAACGTGCTCGGAAAGTTTACCAAGCGAATACACTGAATACTTACATGTTCTCAAAATTTACTTACTAATATACTTAGATCATTAACCAAGCATACATCTAAAGTATTTAATACATTACTCAATATTTCTGAACATATGTTTGGTTTTTAAATCGTATATGGCCTTACTTTTAACATTGAACTAATGCATTCTCTTAAAAAAAAATCTGAATTCATACTCTGGACATTTGAATAATTCATACTCTGGACATCTACATAATTCATACTCCGGACATCTAAATAATTCATACTCTGGACATCTACATAATTCATACTCTGGACATCTACATAATTCATACTCTGGACNTTCAGACTCTGGACATTTAAATATTTCAGACTCTGGACATTTAAATATTTCAGACTCTGGACATTTAAATATTTCAGACTCTGGACATTTAAATATTTCAGACTCTGGACATTTAAATAATTCAGACTCTGGACATTTAAATAATTCAGACTCTGGACATCTAAATAATTCATACTCTGGACATCTACATAATTCATACTCTGGACATCTAAATAATTCAGACTCTGGACATTTAAATAATTCAGACTCTGGACATTTAAATAATTCAGACTCTGGACATCTAAATAATTCATACTCTGGACATTTAAATAATTCATACTCTGGACATTTAAATAATTCATACTCTGTACATATAAATAATTCAGACTCTGGACATTTAAATAATTCATACTCTGGACATTTAAATAATTCAGACTCTGGACATTTAAATAATTCATACTCCGGACATTTAAATATTCATACTCTGGACATCTACATAATTCATACTCTGGACATTTAAATATTTCATACTCTGGACATATAAATAATTCAGACTCTGAACATTTAAATAATTCATACTCCGGACATCTAAATAATTCATACTCTGGACATATAGATAATTCATACTCTTGACATTTGAATAATTCATACTCTGGACATTTGAATAATTCATACTCTGGACATTTATATATGTCATTTTATGGACATATACATAATTCATACTCTGGAAATTTAAATAAGTCATACTCTGGACATCTACATAATTCATGCTCGGGACATTTAAATAATTCATAAGTAATACATCAAACCAATAAACATACTAGATATTCATTGACACACATATTTATTGAATATTTGATTAATAAATTATCTGGACATTAAACTTAAACTGCACAAGATTCACGTTATTCTACTTCAAACTATTTCCAAGACTATATCTAATTTTTCTTTTGAATATTTATCCAACAAATACACAATATTACTCGATATTCATTTCCATATATTTTCTTACCATTTACTGTATGCTTAACTGACATATAATATAGATATTTTACGATGTAACACATATAAATGACAGTTAATGATACTTCTCGATGCATTTCAAAGCAAACTATTTATGCTTTTAACATATCTGAACATTGACGGTTTCAAACTTGCGATAGTAACAAAACATGTTTATTGTGCAACGACAATAAACACTGAATCAACTTATCCATTACTGCAGTTATTCAACTCAAGAGCTCTCGAAGATATTTAATCAGTAAATGTTAAGAACGATTCATTAAAGATTACATTGGAAAGTTAACAAAAACTGACAACAGGTACAAACGTTCCTGAATCAAATTGATCAGTATTTAGAATACAAGTTTCCGTAGTGGAGTATTCATTTGTACGTTGATAGTGTAAGTACAGCGAATTATTCCGACATTGACAGGTTGTCTTGAAGGCAGAGATAACTTGTAAGCTATAACCTCTCCATATCACCCCCTGCAAGGTTGGTGAAAGAATAGGCCAGCTGGCTGATTCCCTGAACGCATACATTTTTAATTTACCTTAGGGAACTTGTTTTGATAGGGGTTATATTCTTTTTCTTAAAAACGTGTATGAGTTTCAACAAGTGAATCTACCTGTAAAACTTACCTGTTGGAAGTCAGGCACATATGCTTATAAATATTGAAGGACTTGAAATATCAATATTCATATATATCTTTTTTACTTTTTAATTTTTGACAATATTAATAACAAGCTGATCCATATAGTATCCTCCCGCGGCATGTTATCATAAGAAGCAACTAAAATGGGACCTATGCAGAATCAGGGTTTTGCTTTTTTTCTTCTTCTTTTTTTTCTGATAAAGGAACAACGAAGAGAAAAAACATAATTATGCTGCTGCTCCTTTTTTGGGAATTCTTTCTTTTCTCTCTCCATTTTCCATTTAGTGGTCTCTCCATAGACACCCGTCTTAATATGACCTAAGCTATTCTAAGGACAATGAATCCCCCTGTAAAACCAATACTCCATCTAACAATGTTACGTAAAACTTATCTGTGCATTCACTGTTTACACTGGTAATAAATATCATATCTGTTAGTTTTTTAATTATATCATCACTATGAGTCACATAGACATTTTTGCAGTAAAACTAGGAGAAACATTCGATCGAATATACATTATCATATTAGATATGAACTATACTATTTGTCATATTTATATAAGATTTTCATCAATATGCAACGCAAGTCGAATCTGTTAATTATTTCACAACAAAATGTTTGAGCTGAATATAGAATATGTATTATTAAAAATTATTATCAACATGTAGATGAATTTAAATTAAAAAAAGAACTAGTCCGTCTTATATTAAATAACAAATCTAAATAAAATTTCTAAGAATGAAATAAAGATTATTCAACCAAATACAATAAATGTCTCGAAAGATTTGTTTCTAAGTCCAAAACCAAACAAAATGAGCACACAATTAATGACTTTGATTGAGAATATTGGCACCGATTGATTTAGATTTACGATATTTATTTCGTCAAATATGGTTTACCTTTCAATCATGAAAATAAGAGTCTCAAAAACACACAGAAAGCTTAACTTGCCTTTCGTCTATATTAATGCAGAGTTAATACAGACGTTAGACATATATATCAGTTAAAGAAAAAATATTAAAAAAAACCCAACAAATTAATCAAGTCTGCAAACACTAAATTCTTGAATGACACTAATTAAAGAAAAAAGCATTTATGAAGATTACTAACTTTAATTACTGATTCGACAAAAATACAATACTGTTGAGAAAACCGAACCCACAGTCCGCCGCATAGAAAACTGAAAAAAAAGGACTTGTATAACATTTGTTTTAAAAATATTTTACTTAAATACATTAAAATTTATGATATTCAAATCTGTGTTGTTGTCAATCATTCTTATCATAAAGTCAACTGAAGTTTATAATTGGATTGATTGATGGATATTTCCTACGCTATACACAATCCTTAGCATAACCTGTAATGGAATAGAACGGAAATTATTTTTTAAAACAGAAACAATAGCATTATCATACAAAGAGACTTACCAAAGTTATGATCTCATATTTAATTTTTAGTAAACGGTAAATATAATTTTCCACATAAATGCAATAAAATACATATCGATGTCGCCTTCATCGACTATCAATGTATAAAACATCTATCGAACTATCCTTCAAGTCTAGTGTATTTTAGGTGTTAACTTATATATATATTGTCGTTGAAAGGTACATAGGTTCTCGATTTTCTCTCGTGGTTAACAGCGTTAAAAACTTGACAGTTGAACGTACTGAACTTACATCTAGGTATATATTTGTGTATGACTGGTTAAATTGATACGTCACAGCATTTCAAATATCCGACCGTCATTATTATTGTATAAATCTCTTAACATATAAATACATATATAATACAACAATTTCTCTTTAAATATTATTCTTGCCTTTCCTTTTTATCATCAAAATATACGTCACCATTATGATTCGTTAATATATCATATAATAATTTTATTTCCCTTTTGACATAAACGCTAACTTATACCAGTCTTATATATAGACTTATAATATAAAAGTTAGTAATGATTTTTTTTTTTTACCGATTTAGGAGATTAAATAAGATAGGATAGCATTGCCAATGTTTCGTATTATTATTTTTTTTATTTTTCATCATATTTAAATTAAAAAACCCCCACCATGATTGAATTGAAATGGTACACTAGTCATAACATCTTATTACACATTTATAAAGCAGTTAAAATACATAAAAAATATTAATAATTTATTTTGACATTGGTTTTACATTGGCATTTGATTTCATATATATTAATAGTAATGATTTAAGATTTTACACAACAATTGATACTGCATTTCTAGATTCTCCGTTTGTGAAATTGGAAACTGATATTTGTGAAATATTTATGCATTCGCGTTTGAACTAATTTTGTAAAATTTCTTTTTTAATAATGTTTATAAATAAAAACAAAATTAAAGTTTCAAAAGCATTGTGTGAGCGTCACTTACTTTGTCCGTTAAATTTCTAGATGTGGTGTGATCATTTCGTTATTTGTCATAGCTAGGGAATTGTTTTAATGCGATTACTATTCGAGTTATAAGGGTTTTCATGTGACAATTCAGTGAGCTTTATAATATGACATAATAAATTAAAAAACAAATCGGTTGGATATTATAAAAATTATTTTGATATATCAGAAATATGTTAGATATTATAAAAAAATCAGTTTGATATTATCAGAAATGTGTTAGATATTATAAAAAAATCTGTTTGATATATCAGAAATATGTTAGATATTATAAAAAAAATCAGTTTGATATTATCAGAAATATGTTAGATATTATAAAAAAAATCTGTTTGATATTAGCAGAAATATGTAGGATATTATAACAAATCTGTTTGATATATCAGAAATATGTTAGATATTATAAAAGATCTGTTTAATATTAGCAGAAATATGTTAGATATTATAAAAGATCTGTTTAATATTATCAGAAATATGTTAGATATTATAAAAAATCTGTTTGATATTATAAAAAATATGTTAGGTATCATTAAAAATCTGTTTCATATTATCAGAAATATGTTTGATATTATAAAAGATCTGTTTAATATTATCAATAATGATATATTGATATTATGAATATAGTTAGTCGAATTAGTAACTGTTTATTCAACCTCTCAGACATCTCCACTCCGAATATGTCAACGATACAGAAGACAATCTATAAACAGCGTTTACGAAAAAAGCAGTTTATTGACATCTTTCCGTTCCATTCTAGACATACAGAACTTATTGTTTGTGTAATGTCCAATCAATCATATGAGTAACTCGAGAATCGTTGAAAAGCGTAAAAAAATCCGGGTATATAACTTTGTGATATACCGCCTAATACTAGCATTCTCTATATAAATAACACATACTGATGGGATCTTTGCTGGCTTATATACAATTCTGTAAAGCTTTGATATAGTTTTTGCCTAAAAGTATTGCCGAATTTACATTACACTGTATACCATAGCAATAACACACAACTATATACAGATAAACTTACTGACAATACACAAAGACACCAACAGAACTGACTAGACATAAAAAATAAATAAAGAAAAAAACATCACGAGTCCCCACTTAAATGGAGTTGAAACCAGTTGCTGAAAAAAGTAAATATTTCCTACCCCATGTGTGGCACCTGTCATGTTTCTCCCGTTAAATTTAGTAAATAGGACACTAGTGATTTAAGTTGTGATCATGACTATGCTATACGATTTCTTCAACGTAGCCTGTATATTGAATCAACTCTGGTAGAAGGACATGGCTAAGTAGATCGTTGGCTGCATTTATCTTTACAGACAATCATGCTACATTGAACACATATATTGCCTTTATAAACAGAAAGTGTTACAACCGATGGGCAATAACTTGACTATCGTGAAATGGGAATCGACACTGTTGTCACCCATTGACCGAAGTTTGGATGTCATGTATTGAATGACCAACATGTGGATGTTAAGTAGCGACTTGACAATTATTGATGTTGCCAAGCATAGCTAATTATGAAAAGATTTTTTTTTGTCTCGTGCTTGATAACGTAATGGTTATGATAAGAACACTAGGTATCAATAATACGAAAACATATAGGAAAATTAAATTACAAATGATTTTTCTATTACCTTCAACAGAAAACAGAGAAAAACAACATGGCGACACCTCTATTCTGGAGAGCCGGATGTCGTGTGGATGTGGAACGATCGCATGCAACTATATCAATGCCCGGATGGCCTTCCCTTCCGCGTCTTTGTCGGCTGTCCATGCCATCCAGCCACCATCCTACCCAATGTCACACTCGATCGACTCACTGCCCGGTTAGTAGTCAATGGTAACCCCTCGGTAGACTCCGGAAAGTCTCGTAAATATCGATTAAGATTACAACAAAAGGAATCAATAATGATAATAATAATCATTATATACCGATTTATCACAGCCTAATTCTTATGTCGTTTAATTTTTCTATTATTCTAAGGAAACAACTAAATTGGATATATAATCTCCGATTGTCATTGATTTTTTGGCATATTAGTTTTGTGGCTTTACTTGATATATTTTTAGCCTAAAAAGTAGTGAAACTTCTGTGTATTCCAATATCCTGAATAATCTAACATAATGGTGTTTTTTCTAATGCCATTTCTGATGAACACAGCTAAATAAGACCTGTGTATGTCGGCATTCTGTCTAAACTGACCAAGATCTTGTGTCCAACTGGATGTCGGTTTACACATTTTCTCTGCTTAATGTAACATTTTTGTATTTACTGAATCTGTCATTAATCATGTCTATTGATTAATAAAACAAAATCACATTGACGTGCTCTCGCCTTCCCTGTTGCTCTTAGTTGTACCAAGTGTTTTAATCCTGTTTCAAAGACAGATAATTATTTTTTTCATAAATATTCCAATTAAAATCTTAAACAAACATTGCCTTCCATAATCAAAGATTCATGGCAAAAGTGAAAGGTTCGCAACCGAATGTTTTAGATTAAAAGCAAATTAAATTTGAAAATAATGCATGAATATGTAACAGCGGGTTGTGCCTCTTTTGGAAAAAGAATTCCACACGAGAAAACCTAACAGTAATGAATTATATCATTATTTAACACAAACTTGAACGGTAAAATGAAATAACAATGAAGTAAGTAACTGAATAGATTATCATAGATAAATGATAAGCACTAGACAGGTCAACAATTTAACTTTTGAAGGAACCATTTTACATCAAAATCGTTAGTAGTCTTTATCACATAATCGGCCTGTTATCCAGTGAATTCGCCCGTGTAATATTTTTACATATGTCACTAGTGTAATATACGCTGGAGCGGTTTTCATTGGCTGTGCCAGTCATAAATTGATTGTGACGTCATAATATAGACAATGACGTGACGTCATAAATTGAGAACGGCGCAACAAAATGGCTGTCTCCGTTTGATTAAGCCCTTTACATTTTGGCTTTAAAACCTGTCAAAATGTAAGTTTGCTGAGTTATGTGATAAAAAGTAGCTTAAATTTGTTTTCATCGCATATGAGCTTTTATGAAAGTCGCCAAGGCTCGCAAAAATGAAAACTCCTAAGACTCGTTTCATAAAATTTTATGTGAGATGAAAACTCATTAAAGATCCTATATATATTTCGAATTATGAGATAACTTTTTTTTCTTTGTTTAACAAGTAGGTCCTTACTCGATACTCAACGATGACGGCAGTGGATGTAACCAATCAAAACGTAAAAGATCATGGTCACGTGCTGTGTTCTCAAACCTTCAGAGGAAAGGATTGGAGAAACGGTTCGAGGTACAGAAATACGTCACAAAACCCGATAGACGACAGCTTGCCGCCATGTTGGGTCTTACAGACGCTCAGGTTAGTAAACGTTGACAGGTCGTATTGAGTGTTAGACCCCTTATTTTAAGATTACCACATCAAAAAGGTTTCCGAACAAATCTATCAATGAGCAATGCCTTTTAAATGTTAACATGTAAAACGAATTTAACCTATTGTTTAATCAATTTATTCAAAGAAACAGTACTGTATGACTTGGGTGATGTAAAAGTCGAACCAAGAGGACACTGTTGGTCAGTGGGAGTTATCACCCCTGATATATACGATGATATTTACGGCTTAGAGTGTCTCTCGACTAATGATTATTGTCTTAGATATCAATATTGGAAGTCATTGACTGCGGGTATTCGTTAGATCTTCTTTTGAGAGCATGAAGAATAATTTTATTCCCTGATATTATGCTCATATTTCCAGTAAACTGATGATAATGCAACAAGTCTGGAAGGCAATATTCACATCTGTTACCGGTCATTTTACTGTCACATCTCGGACCATAGTTCTCTTCTAGTTGTACGGAATCAAATAAAAGTAACGCAGAGAACAAACTTATAAGAAAAAAACACTTGTCTTGGACAACATGATCATTTTCGTCAACTTCATTCTAAAAAGATACATGTTATGAATTATACGGGCATGAATGTTTTGATTGTGAAGAGCTATCAAAAAAGTGTGAGCTAAAATTAACTTACAAAGTATGGAAACAATTGGAAGTAGTGTAAGCTTGTTAGACGATGTTTTAGCGACCTAAGAAAGGTAGATAACTCTAATCTACATTAACCTTTGATTCTTGAAGGACGTCCACCTTTCAAACACTGTTTAGGATAATCTGTGTTCCTTCTATATTCAATAGCTACGCACATTAAGGTACTGTTTTTAAAGTTGATAGCTAGTTTCTTTTGTGTTCTTTTAATGAAAAATAATTATCCGATATTATCCACTCAGTCCCTCTTAATTCTATAAATTATTTTGTATACCAGGTCAAAGTTTGGTTTCAAAATCGGAGAATGAAGTGGAGACATGCTCAACAACAAAAAGAAAAAGATGGCACACTTCCGGACGCTGAAAGTGAAACAGGAAGTGACGTAATGATCGACAAATGTGACAAATCTGTGTGCTCTGATAATTCGGATGACAGTGATGAAGATGGTGATGTGCCGATCACCAGCGACAACATATAGAAAACATTTTCGACCAACTTTGACTATAGATTATATAAATATATTTATTATGCTATTGTTATACGACATTTATCATTGTTTAATAAAACAATTGCTAATAGAAACAGTAATTTTCTGTTGATAGTATGATGCATTGTTCGTGTTTTGAATGACAATTTTAATTTTTGAATGACGAGTGATTCTAAAGTAAATTACAAAAATGAATCAAATTATCAACTCACATAGAAGAATAAAAACAGAAGTCGATACAAAGAAGAAACAACAGGAAGCAAAGACATACCAAAACAAAATGTAAAACATCATGAACCCGTATATAAATATGAACTAAAAGAAGACCAAGTGTTCTGAATAAAAACGACAACAAAAAGCAATGAATACATATAAATTAACTATTTGCAATCCCGAATGTTGTGTAGCATAAGGAATGATGTCAGTTGTCATTGATAGAAACCAGGTCAAAACACTTAAAACTTTGATATCTTGAAATACCAAAACGGCTAATCTGAATATTTTTTTAAAGTAAAATAATTTGGAATATAATCCGTGTAATTAGATTCATCTAAAAAAAACGGTGCTAAAAACTAACTGTCTAGATTAAAAGCAAAAACTACTACAAAACGATATTAACTCTTATTTTCATTGGAAAATAGTTCAAGAAAAAATCATATTTTTAACGCAGGAGACTCGTTATCAATCACGTATCTCTGATTTCTCTCTTGTGGTTTTGATATGGCGGAGCAGAGGTCGGCAGCGTCAAAACTAAGCCATTTACAAGATTTACAAAACAAATGTCTTACGTCATACAACTTGAGTAAAACATCGACATTGGAAAGTCTAAACATCCTTTACACAGGTTCCACTTCGTTCCTTGTTATGCAACTTTACTGCTGTTTGTGGAATAACAATATGGCCGCCAGGCGACCTTCATGAATTTTAATGTCACTTTTTATCCCTATTGTTCAGGAAGTAATGGACAGCTATTTCTAAAACATTACCGCTATAATATATAAATTATTCAAAGCCTACTATTTCCCTTTTTTTCGTTAATATCCGTCCGATACTTATCCGTTTTATTTCAATATATTCTATACAAAAATATATATGCATTCGCTGATAATGATGGACAACAATGCTGCTTGATACTTTACGATGTTGTGCAGGCTAGCCACCGTCATAATCCTACAGTTGATTTGAAATAATACATTAACAAATAAATGAATAAATAATTAAATCCATTGTAATTCCTACGACATTGCTTTAGATCCACTCAATAATACGTTTCACACAAAATAAGCCCTATGTATTGACATGCTGCCAAATAAAGAGAAAAATGAGAGAGACAAGCAATGGAACTGAAGAGAAGTAAGGACAATAGGAGGAAACAACCAGTCAACTGAAACCATGGTATAACAAGGATAGATTGAAGAAAAGGTTATGTTTGATTCCTAACGTGTGCTCTCCCTGATGCTGACTCCAAGTTGTTAAATTATAATGATAAGTCGACTAAGTGAGATAATATTGGTGACAGAATTATCGCCACAAAAATTAACTGGTAGCAGTAATTATATATATATATATATATATAATATGCCACTGTACTTTTGGTTTGGTATTATGATCGAATGTGCTTAATGATTATTTAGTCAACAACTATATATATATATATAAACTTTATTCATTTTGCAACAATTATGAAATAAGTTTTTACAACTTATACTAATCACTCTTGTTGGCCTGACTGTTAGCGCGCGGGGGTCTTACTGTCGGGGGAAACCAGAGTACCCGGGGAAAACCCACGTCAACAACTGAATATCACGTTTTTCTACATCATTAAAGTTCTGCTAGCACAACATGGAATAATTGATAGGTATTTAGCTTCGGTTTAGACAATACCAACTGGCTTTATCGCAAGTATTTTTAATTTCACGGTTGTGGTCTGCACCACAGTGAAAAGTCAGTGAAGAAAAATGATATGAAAATGGAAAGTAATTAAAATATTCACAATGACTTTATATTGAATGGTTTTATTGGAAGGAGGATTAATATCGAATATGTCAGTCAGTGCAAAACGAAATAGGAATAATTGTACCATGTGGCCTTCCACAGTAGTATTGAATTTATCTTAATGGGGCGTGCAGCTACTCACTAACTACGTGGTTAGTTTGCTACCTAACATTTAGCTGATAGAACATTGATTCAACATCATAAACTATCCATGTTGTGGTGCATTGCACAAAGTAAGTACACAAAGTGTTTTAATATTGATTGATATTTTTCAATTACATACATTTTATTCTGGCTCAAAATTGGTTTTCTACAAATTCCAAACAAGATGCACGTCTCAAACCACTTTAAGACTCCTTTTATTGTTTGTTGCTAAATAACTTGGATCATCAGGGTGTAGTTTGCAACCTGCTGCTTGTTCATATCCTGCAGCATTTTTCAAAGACTCACGATTTGACAAAGGTTTAGATATCATGATACTGAACGAATCAACATAGATATGTCGTGAGGAATTTGTTCTCATATACGCTCATAGTCTGTCCCGTTCTTTCACCGGATCCCATTTCTCAACCAAAGGGATATTTGTTTGATCATATATTTAATTGCAATAACATTCAAACATCAAGGATCAGGCAAACGTTGCTATAGCTATTCGCCTTTCTAAATGATTCTTCTTATATAGAATAGTGATATCACGATAACAACTACTCTGAATATGACTGGTATGTTGTACTAGGATATTTGTAAGAGAAAACATGAAATTATTCTAACAACCTATTTTCTGTTCCTAGGAAATATTGTAGTTTTTCCTTTTAAGATTAAAGGGCTTTACAACAACAAGGTTTTATCATGACTGACTAAATAAACATCAACAGATGGTATAAATGTCCCAAGTTCGGAAATGAGGAGAGCAGACTTTTTTTGATTTTTTAAATGTTTTTTATGAATGTTCACCTTTGAGAGCTATAAGTTTTCCTGTATTTAATTTTTCTTTCTATGTATTTACTTTTTGCAAAAGGAGTTAATGGCATTGTAAAAATGCAAAATAATATATGTCCGTGAGTTCGTTTTTGTGCTATGGTCGATCAAATATACCAATTTAACCTAATATGCGACTTTAGGTAATTTTGATAGTTTTGACCATTTGCAGAACAAATTCATAAAATATCTTCCAATTGTATTATCATATATGCTTGCAGAATTGATCTAAATAGTCTTTTCCTATAACTTATCAAATAAATTTTCTTAATCTTAATTTTTATCTTAGAAAAGCGGTTTAAATTATTACCTCTACACCTTAGCTTTTAATAAAAAATTCTTATTCACCAATTTTTGCAGATTTAACGCTGGATATAAAAAGTCCTGCTATTAAAACCTTTTTTAATATTTAGTGAACCAAAAGAAAACGTGTTTTTCTTAATAAAACAGCCACAAAAAGGGCTAAAAAAATCTTACTTCTCTACTGTCTCCTCTTGTCTCAGAAAATTCACAATACAACCTCCGTAATGCCGATAATTATTCTCTTCCTAATTTCCAACTTTCAAACTCATCCTTTTCCCCTTCTACAATCCAACTTTGGAACCAATTAGACCTAGTCATAAGACACAGTTTCACATAAATCTCTCCTAAATCTTCAAAATTTATATGTTCCAAAATATTATCTGATTGGTGATAGAAAACTTAACATTTTACATACCAGATTAAGAAACAGAGCTAGTACCTTAAATAATGATCTATTCCATGCAAATCTAATAAATGTCCGACACTGTCAATGTGGTCATCCTGTTGAAGATGCATATAATTTCTTTTTCGCTTGTAACAATTATGTACAACAAAGAATTAAATTATATCGTGAACCAAACTATTTCATTCCTCTGGACCTGCAGCTGATACTTTTTTGTAGTTTGAAATTAAGCCAACAGGAAAATGAAATAATATTTCAACATACTCGGCAATATATTCTAGATTCACATAGATTTTGATAAATATACCCCCCCCCCACACACACAGACAGACACACACACACCTTCCCCCCTTCTTCTCCCCCCTCCACTAATTTTACAGAAATTGTACGAACTTGGTATTAATATTATCTATGTTTGTTCATTTATGAGTCGAAAATCATTTTTATCTTAAGTGTTGAAGAGTCGTGTTTCTGGTCTTCCCCGATACAAACGGCACTAGTGAAACGAAAATATCAGAAGGAATCGAATTTACAAGGAGAAGGCAACAGAGGCACGGGAAGTGATGAACATTAGAAAAGCAGAGTGCTTTGAATAGTGGACAGTGTTACTAGTGCCGTCTGTGTCGGAGAAGATCACTACCACGATCTCAAATTAAATATCTTCACGCTATGACCTCCCCTCTCTCTCTCTCTCTCTCTCTCTCTCTCTCTCTCTCTCTCTCTCTTTCTCTCTCGGTAACACTAAACTTAATTGAAAATATTAATTAATTTAAAAATTACCATCTTGTATATATATATTTCATTATGTTATAGGGAAAGGGCTTTACACAAATTGGACAACTTGTGCCCAATCCCTTTTGTATATTAGATGCAAATCCAAATATGTTTAAATCTAAAACGGACGCGCAAACAGTAAATTTAATATAACTTGGGGTTTGAAAGCATTTAATACTTAGATCGTTAGACCTAACCAATTGTCATTACTGTTTTAACGGGATAACTTTCACCCAGTCGAATATTCGAGCTTTGCCGGTAAGATCCATGTCTAGCTAGTGTCAATTTCGCGAATCACATGTAAGAACTACATCTTATATGTTGTGTACTAATAGTGTTTACTGTCATCATAACTCGCCCTCATTCGGGAAGTTCAATCGATCATTACGCGGAATCTCAAGTAGAATTTCACTCGGGATGTACTCTTGATCCGCCATGGGATGAACTGTATAATTAAATGTAGGATGTACTGTAGATTTACTCACGGTATGTTCTGTAGAATTACACGAGGGATGCACATTCATATGTTCCAGAGATAAACACGGAATATTTTTTGTAGAATTACACGCGAGCTGTACTGTAGATTATGCACTGGATTAACTGCAACGCTTTATAAACTATGAATCGGACTTAACGCGTTATTACTACTTGTATATTATACTTTAACTAACCATACGCCATGCCGGATATTCTTTTTCACTATGTTTATAGTATAAGTAAATTCTAAGACGTACCTGCACTAGAGCGAATCTGATAAAATGTATCGATATTTTGTGACGTTTCATCAAATATTGGTACCAATTGTCAAGCAATTAAGATACAGGCATCGCTAAAATATTTGTTAACACATGTTGTTTACTATTTTTGTTGTGTGTAATAAAAAAAGATCAGCATTAAAATAAAGTGCTTTAGTACCAAAATACAAAAAAAAAGTCCTTATTTGAAATGGTGAGAAAAAATTGCGGAATTCATTGTCTGGTTGGGACTGTAAACGATTGTATCCTTCAATATACCTTATATGTCATCTTGGTGTTCATTTTTTTAGTCTTATATATTCATATTTATTTCTAGTGTAGAAAGCATCTCAATATGTATTTATATTTTTGTGTAAAGAATTTGTATTAGCCGCATAGAGAATATTCACTTTTCAAATAAAGCTAAGGTTTTACTGATTTTGTTTCGAATATTTAAAAACTGGGATATCATGCATGGATTTCGAACATCATGTAGATGCGACTGAATTAAAACAGTCACAAATTGATGCGCAAATAGATTGGTTATTGCAATGATGTTCGATAATTTCAATAATCATTGTATCATGCTGCTTCGGTTTTACGAAAACATTTCACAATATTGATTGGTAAAACAATCAAATCCCCATAACTTATATCCTACAAATATGTCTTGTCTTTATCAGATTTTGTTTAAGTGATTTGTTGATGATCGATTGATAATAAATAAGTAATTAATCTTTTCATTTCAATTAATTCAATTAACAGAGGTCGGAAAAACCGTACTTATATCCTACAAATATGTCTTGTCTTTATCAAATTTTGTTTAAATGATTTGATGATGATCGATTGATAATAAATAAGTAATTAATCTTTTCATTTAAATTAATTCAATTAACAGAGGTCGGAAAAACCGTACATGATTTGCTCTGTGAACATCAGACGAGGTTTATCGCATGCAAGCCAGGCGGAACACTGCGCATCGAAAGGGGTGAATACGGTCGTAGGGACATATCCATTTGCCCTGCTCGACCGAGCAACGTGTTCTGCGAGCCAAATGGTGTATTAAACAAACTACGAACAAATTGTGAAGGGAAAACCCATTGTACTGTCAGCACTAACAACGATGCTTTGGGAGACCCCTGTCCACACTCATCAAAGTATTTGGAATTTACATATACGTGTTAACCTCTAGGTTAATATGTGTACTGTTTAGATAAACTTGCTTTATAACGATCACATTTTGGTACCATCACATACAAAACAGTATCCCCTCGTTATATAACAACATCACACCACGAAAATATTGTTTGTACTCCAAACCGATTGGAGAGATTTGTCGTCGCCATAGCCTTCGCTATCATTGCTATGCTGATGACACACAAATTTACATGGTCATAAAACCACAGGACAGTTGGAATACAGTCTCAGAAAGTCTGGAAGCTTGTCTGACAGATGTCAGTATCTGGATGAACGCCAACATGCTTAAACTTAATCAGGAAAAGACGGAACTAATCGTCTTTTCCCCAAAGTGTCAGCAAACAATGGCTCTCCAGCTCAAGGTTGGTGCCAGAACTATTGAGACTGTTCCAGCTGTTAAAAACCTAGGGGTATACTTTGACAGTTCTCTGAACATGGAGAAACAAGCGAACGTGATTGCCAAATCCTGTTACTACCAGATTAGGAAAATCGGCTGTATTCGGCAGTTTCTAACTGCAGATGCATGCAAGATTTTGGTGCAATCACTTGTTACCTCTCGGTTGGATTATGGTAACGCCCTGCTCTGTGGTATATCTGACAAACTAACTAGTCGTCTGCAGAGGGTTCAGAACGGTAGCAATCCTTAACAGAACCTGGAGTTAACGTTCCCCATTTTGTCGATGAGTGTATAACTGCTTCCTTTTAATCACTTGCGTAAATTTTTACTGATCTTGTTTTTTTCTAGGTGAATGACAAAGAAGTGTTTCTTCCCTATCGGACGGAAGAGTTTGAGATATAAGTGGGACGTATGTTCGGTTGGAAACCAGGTGTGGTCTGGTGGTGCAGTTTGACGGTAACAGTAACGCTAACGTCCGTGTACCTAATGTGTACGGGAACGACCTAACTGGGATCTGTGGTAATTGTAATAATAACGAAAACGATGACAGGAAAGATGTTAATGCGTTTGAAGTCGCCGATGATTCGGACCTAGTACTTGAACAGTAAGTAATACAATCGCCCATCTGTGGTAGATGTAGTGACTCAAGGCAAATTCAGTTTAATCTACCTCGAAAACGAAAGCATCCTTAGTGAAAATGTAATCACGCTTTAAAGTTGCATTTTCAAAGGATATTTCATTTTGCTGACTTACATAAGAAGCTATATTTAAAAGATTTAGCTTTTCTTTGGAAAATATAATATGATTTGATTGCTTTATTTATATAGCTGACTATAGCTATAGCTGTGTCTGTTTGATGTATTGTTTGTTAGATCAGGATACTATACTTAATGGAATCTAGCAATTGTTGGTATTTGGGATATTAATATTTTAGTGTTGGTAAGACTTGATATAGTAACAGTATGGTATGTTGTAAGTGTACCTCACATTTAAAGATCCATGCAATACCTTCCGGGTACAGCTGTAAGCTTGTACAATTATTTCTATGTTCTCTAGGTGCTGTAAGTTTACGACAGCAAGGTTTATTACAGTCAGTCAAATAAAGCCATAATAACAAGCCTTCATCTGATGATGACGTCATACTGGTACAAGTAACTAATCGTACCAATATAAGATACACGTATCCCCATGAGTGTTCCAAATGGGACAAATGCACCTTTCATACAGAGAGGCAGGATAACGAATTTTCTCTCATTTCCCTGTGTGTATGATAGAGCTGTCCATTGTTAGAAAGGGGTGTAGGACATTTCTATCTCACACCTCATTTTACGTGACGTGGTGTCACAATGACTCAACAATGACGTGACGTAACGATTTTTGACAATCGCCGATTCCGCAGTGCGAAAAAGGCGACGTGACGAAATTAAAACATTTTACGATATATTTTCCGTATACGTTAGAAAGATGTGATTATTGTTTTCTGTGCAAATATGGGATATGCTAAATCATGCTGAACGTTTGAACGATAGAAAAATACTTTTTCATGCCCAAGGATGTAGGATAGGGAAGAAAAGCCTCGGGTTTTACCTAATTTGAAAACCCATACCTCGGGTGGAATTTTCCTATCCTACACCCCTGGGCATTAAAGAGTCTTAAATTCTATGGTCGCGTCAAGCATTAACCCTGATGGTAGAGAAAACATATATAGCTTGACGCGTGACCATTTCATGAATTATTTTCAGCTGTAAAACACCACCACAGGATTTCCACCCTTGTGCACAGAATCCAACGTTTAAGACGGAGGGAGAAACAACGTCCGTATGTAGAGTCATGGACCCAACAAGTACTAAACAAAGTGCCTTCAGCGAGTGTTTCAAAAGTGTTAAAGAGGAGGCTGCACTTCTCTTTAGTTCTTGTGTGTATGACTACTGCGTGTTCAGGTTAGTACAGGGGCACGTGTTTGGTTATACAAAAGTAGGTATGGTATTTCTGGTCTGACAAGAAGGATAAAAGCATTCAAAAAGTTGTCTTTGGCAGGTAACCTCAGATTGGCAACTGTTAGAGTAATACCTTAACCACTGGTTGATTCAAAGATGGTGAACACTATAGTCAGAAATCATATTGACACGAAACAAATCACTTGATGCAAAAAGCGTCACAGATATATTTATTTTGTGCTTATTATCTGCATTATGCAGTATCAAATATCAGTTTGTGCAGGACTTTGATAGTGGCATGCCACCACGAAGCTTTCTTATGATTACAATCATTAATGGTTACTAAGAAGAGATAATGTATCACGTACAGGTTAGACAACAAATAAGGGAAATCCCTCGAGAAGGTGCTTTGTGAAGACGTCAGTGCTCTAGCTGACCTGTGTGCTTATAGGGGAATCACAGTCAAATGGAGAACGTCGACACTGTGTCGTAAGCTACGTCTTTTCAAGTTTGTAAATGGTTTCTACACATCTGCAACTCCAAATGGGCAAACTATCAACAAAAGAGCTGCATTCAAATAACATCTCGCCTAAGTCTTTTTTGGGATAGAACCTATAAAGTTAGGAAATACATCAATGTTCTTGTCCTATACACGCGTATGCCACTAGGTTTTTACCGATAACAACTTTAACTTACTACTGTCCCGTATACAGATATATTAGACAGTACAAGTATGGCAGGTTACCCCTATCACCATAGGATCACCTATGGTAATTATTGATCACCATATACTAAGAAATATATATGATACCTTTATTTGACTCGTGACCTGTTCAATCCCTCAGTTACCGAATAATTTAGTCGAAAAATATCTGCCACTCTAACCATTGTTGTCAACGCGGCCTTCTAAAATATTACGTTGATAATGGAATTATCAACAGCCAGGTACTTTGACAAGAGCATAGTAACACACTTCTTGTTTATGATATAAGTACTTTCATCGAAAATATTTGCAAAATATCATGTTTCTGCTACAATCAAAATTTCAGCATTACCATGTGGACCAAACTCGCACTACAGCGCTGAGATGTCAGCTTGTCCTGTCACGTGTGTGGACAGGCAAGCCCCTGGCAAATGCACTGGGAACGCAGTTGAGGGGGTGAATGTGATACAGGGTATATTCTTAGTAACCAACGCTGTGTTCGCGAGGCTGAATGTGGTTGTACTGACGACGACGGGCAATAATCCCCGGTATGTAGTACAGGAAATATATTTAAAATATAGATTCAATATCACTATAATACTAATGTTATTTTTTAACCATTGCAAATGCAGCTAATAAAACTAACCTGATACTTTTGCACTCGAGGAAAAAATTGGTATTCTGTCACACTCGTGAAAAAGTGCATTTGTGGTAGTTTATAAAATCAACCCTACGACTCAAAAGGCAATAATCCATATCTTTTTGTGTCTTTCCACCTTCTGTCCATTAAGAAAAAACACCGCGAGACGAGGTTTATTAAAATGTAAAATATAATTTTCTGACATATCATTTAGAAAATGGTATTGCTTTTTCTGTTTTAGGATGGTACTGAATTCGTCTCCAAAGACTGTTCATTAGTAAGACAATGTACAGCAGTAGGTAACGATATGAAGATTGTTGTCAAGGAAACGAGGGACCCATGTGGTACTAACGCTGAGTGTAAACCTGAGGATGGTCAATACACGTGTGTATGTAAGGCACGGCATACAGGAGATCCTCTGAAGGCTTGTACAGGTAATTACATGTAATGTGTTAATCGTGTCATGTTTATGTTGATTCCTGGTGAGAAGCTGGGTGTAGTATATATTTTGATATAACAAAAATGAGCAAAAATTTGTTTGTAAATAAAATTTAACTTAATAATTTGAATGTTGATCATAATGAGATGTCAGCTTAAGGAGGCTCCTTTTTGTTCTTGACTTATTTCTTTATCAGTATCCCGTATTGATAATCGATGTATTAGTATAGACTGTATTTAACATTGGGTTAGCACCAGTACATATGCGTGACAATGTCAACAAACTATATGTCGAGACGAGAGGGACATGCATATTAAATGATCCTAAGAGAGATGTTTCGTTAATTCAATGTATTTTTCGGAATAAAAAAGAAAATCTTCAACTTATCGCATTGCCTTGTATTTCAAAAAATCTTGTCCATATTGTGGCGTAAGCAGTATTTGAACAAATTTAACGGATTCTGCAGCTTAAGTACATTTCGTTGGAGCCTCCTTAAATCAATCGATGGATTTACGTATGGACATATTAACATCTGGGTTACATTATAATCCCTCTTACCTGCAAATACCTTGGCTTGTGTAGTGAGGAGGTATCATGCGATACTCTACATAGCGGGTTGTATGTTTGTTAGGCTCTGTATTTCTTAAAAAATGAAATAAAATAAAGGAGAATGTTATCCCTATTTTTATATATGTTTTTTATTACAATTGCCTCGCTACACATCTTGTAGGACTCAGAAGGAAAACATGTATCCAAAACGGTGAATATGCATGATTATCGAATTCAATAATTGAAAAGAGATGACTTGTCTGATAAATTAAATGCTTGATACGGAACTACTTTTCATGTATCTGTAATAGAAATAACCTGTGGAGCTAACGCCCACTACGTCAAAAAGGTGACTGCCTGTCCTGCCTCATGTCAGGCTCCTAAAGCCCCTATCAGGTGTAGGAAACCCATGGCAGAAGGCTGTGCTTGTGACAAGGGATTTGTAACGAATGAAGGACAATGTATACGTGTTCAGGAGTGCGGATGTAGAGATGATGATGGGACTCAATATCGGGTCGGTAACTTCGTTCTTTACAAATTGATGATTGTGCTTTTAGAGTTATAAAATGTACCAACATATGAATTTATAATCAAAAATCTTAATAATATCCAACTGCAAGTACAAAAATAGAATGCATTAGGATATGATATATCTTGGAGGAACGTTATAACTAATAACTAATAAAATGCACTTCTTATTCCTCACTATGGTCGTATGACGCTTTAGATAATGCGATAAGGTTCACGTATGATAAAAGAGGTTAAAAGGATAAATTCTGGAGAAAAAGTCAATTTACATCAATAGCAATACTAATACTGATGAGGAAACAATGATATTGTGGATACGAAGCTGTTTAAAATGTTTAGAATTAAAAATGTACGTATACTTTTTAACACACAGATGTTGTTCACTTCTTCAGGTAGATCTTACAATCAGCTGTGCGGTTTTGATCTGTAGCAACATGGATAATGCTATTTCTGCTTTGCAATAATTGTTCTATTGTGAGAGATTTTTGTTTGTTTGTTTAAGAATTGGATTGTATTTATTTCTAGTGTTTGTTCGGTTTTAATATGATTAAGAGCGTTAGGCAAAACTATTTCTATTTTAGGACGTTCGGAATTTGTCTCCAGTGACTGTTCAGAAGTTAAGCAGTGTACAGCAGTAGGTAACGAGATGAAGATTGTTGTCAAGGAAACGAGGGAACCATGTGGTACTAACGCTGAGTGTAAACCTGAGGATGGTCAATACACGTGTGTATGTAAGGCACGACACACAGGAGATCCTCTGAAGGCGTGTACAGGTAAGAGAACTTCTATTAAAAAGTTTGTATGTTCTAAAAATTGCTTATATCTAAGCTATCATAACATCATTTGTCACATCACTTCAAATTAAATATTATGTTGCACCATCTCTTAATTGTTGTATTTAAACACCGCTTGAATGTCGAATGAAATTCGACGGGTCAGAATACGAGGGCGCCATTTTCGAAACAGTTACCGGAAGACAATGCAGAACATGGAACACGTTAAGTGCGCATAGATTCGCAAAACTTGTAGCTCATAATGGTTGTCGAAATCCGTATCCACGTAGAAAAACCAAGGCGCCATGGTGCTTTATTAATGACAGGAAAGACTGGGAATATTGTGATATGCCCATGTGTAGTAAGTATTTATTTCATTATTTTTATTTTATGTAAATGAAGTTATAAATTTTAATTTTCTATACCCCAATTTGCTGTCCCGGGAGTTAGTAAGAAACCTAACACATTCCTTAGGACTTAATCATTCGCCAGTTTATGTAACTTCCCTACAAAAATGACCGAGCCAATCAATGAGAGATAAGAGTAATTAGGCAAAGAGCTTGTTTGTGTATTTATCAAAACATCACTTTAGATATAGCGGAAGAGTAGATAGATTGTCAGAAATCTCAGGCTTGTAATGTATATTTTTAAAAACTTCTCTTTGCAGTTAAATAATTAGATATAGGGATAAAGCAAACGTCGATTCTCATCTACAAGGCTTGTATCGTTTAACAACTCGTCATCGCTTCGAGTTAAACCTTGTATGGGGGACTCAGAGACTTACTTTATCCCCAAATTCAGAGTACTTCATGTGTCTCCTATTACTATTGATACCTCGGATCTATACATATATCATGATCATCATGTTTACATGTTTTCCGTGATAGATACCGACCAAAAATTATGGGCAAGTGTGTTATGGTGGCAAAAAGGATCTTGTAGGAAAGCATTCTTGTTATTTATAGATTAGCACACTGTTTGTTCAGGGTTTGTGGTGAGAACAATTTTCTCATCGCGAACACGTGGATAAAATCGAGAGGCAACCGAATCGAACGACAAACTCTGAAAATACTGTATGATAAACTATTTATCATCAATATACTACTAACATATATATTTCTCCATTTAAAAAATTCAATTAAACACCATGTTTTCCAAATGGCTTCTAAACTCAATGGTCAACGATCGCCTGTGACAAGCGTAAACAAAAACAAGTTTTGCGCGGAGGAATACAATGAACCTTAAAACTACGTAGACAAATAATTTTAAAACAATCCTATAATCATTGGTTTTTCCATATGCACTTTTACGCTTGAAATGGTGTTGTTATTCTCACAATGTTTTTCCGTAACTTTGTATTGATATGTTTATAACGAACGATTTTCTTTTGCGGATCATTTTTGTGTGGACACTATTTCCGGTTTCGGACGTCTTCTGGCGCGAACAGACGTTCGTTTTTGGAGAAATACGATCCCAAGTGCTGGGGAATGGGAAAATCCGTTCTCAAGTTCTACGTTATTTGTTCTGAAGTCGTTCTCAACTTCTTTTCATTCTGACAACCAATGATAATGAATGTAATTTTCTATCTCCTTGTTTGATGCAAAGGTCGAGTTTGTGCTTGGCACATCATAGTCATTAGATAGCCGAGTTGTGTCGTTGTCACTACCATTGTTCTCGCTTTAAGGACGTGACATGTGTTGGATAGTACCTAAATTGACATTGCGGCTGTCGACGATGAATCAGAGGACGGTTATTCTTCCGGCACACCTGATCTCTGATTACATTTAGCTATGGTCTCCATGTATAACTTTCTATTAATTGTATTTACATCGAAGTTCATGATTGCTGTATTGGGGTTACATATATCTCTCTGAGTAATTGCAAAGCATTGAATAGTGGACTTTTACCTGGGTTTTTGAGGTGTTTTTTTAAAATTAAAAACATTTTTATTCTGCATTTTTTTTTTTATTCTTTCGGTATTATTCATTTTCATGGCCAGGGGGATTAATAGTGTGACCAACTGGTGACCTAGTTCCGGACCAAGGCAGTTAGACAGTTTCGTACATTTTTACTAGCTTCCCTCAATATATCTATTACACGTGAATGTTTTCTATCGTCAACTGTTTGGGTATTTCCGTCGAACCGTTTGAGCAATCGGTAACGAGTTGTGACGTAACGTCAAATCCAAAATTATGAAGTTAATCCCCAATGGTTATCAATTGAAGCTCGGAAATGGTAAACTTAGAAGCTCAATCTTGGTCCTTCAAAAATGAATGTTCAAAGATGTATATCAGTCTTACAAGAAATGTTAATTACAGTCTTGGCTTAACTAATTGGAATTCTGAGAATAACTAAAAAAAGAAGATATTTTTAGACAAAATTTGAAAGAAAAAAACCCCATCTGCTACACAGTTTCATAAGGAAAGATTTTATTTTCATTCAAACAGTGTTAAACATAGAACGTACAAGACGTATTTCCGCCAATAAAGATTATCAACTGAATACAAGATACCTGATATCAAGCGAGTGATGGTTTCTCTTGAGCTATTTCTCTACTATAACACTTGATAATCATGAACATCAATATTAAGACGATAATCGATCACTATGGGTTGTAACGCGAAAATAAGTTAAGACTTCGACATCTTATCGCGTGAGGTTAAAATAATCAAAAGAAATAAAATCATGTGCTTGTAATAATGGAAAAGTAACTGCAGCATTAGAGACATACACCTTAAATATGCTACATCGATGACAAGAGTTTTCCATTTTTGTCCTGACATGGTTTCATTATTTCCACATTGTATTCAGTACATGAAAAACAAAACAAATTAGTACATAACAAAAAATTCTGGTACTTCCTTCATGAACTGATACACAATCGTTCATGAATGTTCTTTATTTTATATTTAGAAGCGAAAAAGCCGCATTGTATAGCCGAAACAAAAATATCGTGCTCGAGTGCAAAAGGCCACCCACGGCGGTGTACGAAACCTGTGATAAAATACCTCACCTGGGTATCTAAGACAGATGACCTGAAATGTGTGTTCGGTCTCAGCTATGGCCGACAGAAGAACGAAGTATGGGTTAACGGAGAGTGTGGCGGTACCTTTGATGTATGCTATATACCAGGTAAAATGATATTTACATTAACCGAATGCATTTGTGTATAATGTTATCCAAATGTATCAAGGGGTTGGGCCTGTTAAACTTAAATCAAACCAGTTATCCTGATTTGTATTGTTTAAATTGATACAAATCACGGTTAATTTTCAATGTGTCTTTCAAAAAATGGACGCCTCTGCCTCTTTGATGTTAAAATGTATGCATTTAACATTATAAAATGGTCATCGTAGTTAAATAACTTTTAAAAGCAGTTGTCATGTTGAAAGTACAAACCGTTTACTGTGGTTCTCGTCATCAAGCTGTTTGACAAGTTATCTTACCTGCGATTCACATATTGATAAATACACCAGCGATTGAGTTTATGTGTCTATCATACTAATCAACATCATTTTCTTTCTTCTCAGAAAATATTTCGTACGAGCCGAAAACAACTCCAGTAACATGTGATGATACTTTAATATATATATATATATATATCGGTTGTATGGTTTCCAAATTGGGCTTTATAAAATGAATGGAAAAAATGTGGTTTATATTATAAACTTCCACCGTTTCCGTTTTTTTAAAACCGGATGTGGATATTTTGAGCGGGATATAAGTTAACTTTTTCCATCAAATGTTACAGGTCAAAGCCGGGGATGTATGCATGTAGGTATGGCATTTCTGCCCCTCGGCACAAGAAGGTCATTTTGATCATAAAGCGTCAAAACGAAACTAAACAGAATTCAAATTGAATTGTATTATTATGATATTAATATTATTGATTTATTTTGAAATTTGTATGTGATCAAATTCAAGCAATGTTTCGCAATCACTAACGTCATCTATCGCTAATATCGGTCAGTTATTTACAACATCACAAAAAATGACGTCATCATTAATTAATTTGTCAGTAACTTACAACATAATTATCATGACGTCATTCATCAGTAATCCCTGATTGTAATTGAAAAAGAATATACCACTAACGTCATCCAGACTTATTGTTTGCCAGTTATTTACAACAGTACAATAATGACGTCAGTGATCAGTAATCTCTGCCGGTAGTTTACAACAGAATGATCATGACATCAATTGAATGTCAATGAAAACAGTACAATAATGACGTTATTGATCAATAATTTTTACCAGTAATTTCGATCAAAACAGTAATCAATCCATTTTGGACGTGATTTCAAAGAATATCAAAAAGTGTAATTGTAATGTAATCGGTTGGTAATCTTGAATAGTACAAAATGATGAGACAAGAGTATGATTTTACATTTGCCAAACAGGTGCTATGGTTTGATAGCAGGGAATGTAATTGGTATATCTATATGTTATAATCTGAAAGTTAGGTCAATTTGCGACACGTATATCGAATCTTTAACCTTCGATTAAAAAAGAGGTCTTGTGTTTATTTATTGGATACGTGATAGTGTAACACAATGTATTATTATTGATTGATTTACTACCCTATCCTTGAACTCCAGTAAGAGCGACATAAATGTTTCGACCGCCACACTATTGTACTTCCCCTCAAAAAGGGAGGTAGGAACTTGATGTTAAATCATCTATTAATGACGCACAAGTCCCTGAACGCAAAAGCATCAATGCGAGTAGCACACCCGATGATTTTTTTTATATATCGACTTTGGGATTTATGTACTTGGTATAATAAAATAATATAAAATGTACAATAAATTCTTACAAAGCTTTAGTACATATCTTTTCAGTTTGACTTTAGAATGCAAGAATACGAGGAAGGGCACTGAATATAAGGGCAAATGGGGTATAACAATTTCCGGACGTCTGTGTCAGTCCTGGTCCTCACAATATCCACGGGCAAACAAGTTTGCCAGAAAGCTGTCAGGACAGGCAAATTACCGCAGAAACCCTAATCCTGTCGTCAGAAAGCGGCCATGGTGCTTTGTTGACGACCCAAAGTACAAAAATAAATGGGAATATTGTGAAATGTTATAGTGAGTAGAATACATATTTTGCCTCGAAATAGTGTATGTGTTTTCAAAGTCGATATCTCCGTGTTGTGCAAATTCTGACTGATGTCTCCATTCTAATGTTTCCATGTAAGACAATCTCTGGCATATGTCTGTCCGATGTTTTAATGTAATAAAATCACAGTCCGATATCTCCATTATAGACAAACCTTGCCTGATGTCTCGATGTTAAACAAACTCTGTATGGTGTCTACATTATAAACAAATTTTGTGAAGTTTCCATGTTACACAAACTCTGTCTTATGTCTCAAATATAACCACATTTTATACAAACCCTGCCTGATGTCTACATGTTATACCAACTCTGTCTGATGTCTCCACTATAACCAAACACTGCCTGATGTCTCCGTGTGAAACAGATACTGTCTGATGACCCTATTTCATACAAACTCTGTCTGATGTCTCCGTGTGAAACAGATACTGTCTGATGTCCCTATTTCATACAAACTCTGCCTGATGTCCCTATTTCATACAAACACTGCCTGATGTCCCTATTTTATACAAACTCTGTCTGATGTGTCCGTGTGAAACAGATACTGCCTGGTGTCCCTATTTCATACAAACTCTGTCTGATGTCTCCGTGTGAAACAGATACTGCTTGGTGTCCCTATTTCATACAAACTCTGTCTGATGTCTCCGTGTGAAACAGATACTGCCTGGTGTCTCCGTGTTATAAAATCTCTGTTGGACGTCTTAGTCTTGTATCTTATATGTTAGGCTATACAAATGGTAAATTGGATCTGCCTGACGTATCCTGGTGAATAGTCCACGTGTGGTGATGCAATTATGTTTCATCATTCCCTCGTTATTTTGAATGAAAAACAGAACAGTGTTCTTATACAGAAATTGCCCTTATTTCGTTTTACAAAGCATACCCATTACGGCGATAACAATCAGCAAGAATCGGACAAGCAGCCATGTCAGATATCAATATTAAAATATTAATTGGCGATAAGCTACCGATTTCCCGATATGTGTATTTTGATATAACGTGAAATATTTACACTTGTTTTAGAAAAAACAAGCTGAATAAGTTTCTCAATACTTTGAGCATATAACGCATTGTGATTTTAACGCTTCTTCCCCTATTTACCTACTATTTTGACATAATTTCATTTTATCGCAATAACATCGTTGTCAATGTGCGTTATATAATATATTCTTTATCAAATTTCAATTCAAATGTAACATAAACTACTATCTAGTTAATCTATTCACCTCTTCTCCGGTATTTTCACTAATCCGGTTTTCCCACCATCCAGTAACCGCTAATCAACTATTCCCTCAATCCAGCCACTACTAATCCGGTTTTCCCACCATCCAGTGACCGCTAATCAACTATTTCCTCCATCCAGCCACTACTAATCCGGTTTTCCCACCATCCAGTGACCGCTTATCAACTATTCCCGCTCCAGTAACCGCTAATCAACTACTCCCTCCATCTAGCAGCTACTAATCCAGTTTTCCCACCATCCAGTGACCGCTAATCAACTATTTCCTCCATCCAGTCACTACTAATCCGGTTTTATAAATTAACCAAAATGATGTTTTAATTATTTTTTACTCTTTCAGCTGTTAAAAACAAGCCCGGAAGTGAATACGAAAGAAAGGATAAGAAAAACGATCTTGAGATTTTCCTTGTATTTTTCCATTCAATAAAATGAATTGCAATAGTTATTATTTTTAGATAATATGTGAAGCTTTACGAAAACGGTTGCTTATCATGGTAAAGGTGAACTGATTCTGCTTGGATGAGTGCATCCCCGATATCCAGGGGTTACGCTCACTTTCACTCTCATCACTTTCACCCTGGAATATGTCACAGCAAAATTGAAGGCTCGGTGTGCGCCACCGTGTTAATGAGACAAGAAGACTAGTTCGATCCTTTAATATACATCAAAAGATTCTCGCGGTCACGTAACGGTACAAATTGACAGGCTTTGAAGTCGGGCGTCTCTCCTTGGTAATCTTCAAAGGACAGGTATCAACCTAGCGATTGGTCAGTATTTTATTTACCTGAGACCAATTAAACAGCTTTCTTTGTGCCTTCAATTTTGCTATGACATATTCCAGGGGTTACTAGATTTAAAAACCGAGAGCAATTAACAGTTGCATTTTCTAAAACTATCACAATCTTAAACGGAGGAAATTGATGTGAAAAGTTACAGGATAGTCGTACCGCTGGCCTCTTCGTGTTTAACTCTTATTTTGATTTAATAAGTCAAAAACAGCTAATTCTTTTACGTTGATGCACTGTCAAATACGTCACCAATTCATTCTAAATTACCATAGTTTGAAGACATTAACAGTTCTTTTTTTTAATTTGGAAACCTTCGTAATGAGAAGCTTTTCATTTTAAGGTATCGTACATCATTTCAACGGTGATGAGTATTAAAAAATCCATTACCACTTTGAATTTGATTAGTGGTGTATATTTACATAAATGAGTGAAACCTAACAGTTATAATACACTTATCGATCAAACGTTTTAAAAAGTTTTGACACACCACAGTCGAACGTAACGGCATTTAATGAACAAAACTCGAATGTCCTGAAGCAAGGTAATCATTTAACTTATATCATCGTAAGCGCATAAATAGTTTAAAACAAGTAACACTCTTAATCTCACATTAATAACAATACACAATACACCTCCAGCACACACGCAGGCATGCACACATAGGGAGATACTAGCCAGGTGGCATAGGACTAGAAGTAAGCGCCTGATAAGGCAGCGCCTGAGAATTCCTCAAAATTGTATTGATTAGTGTATATGTTAGTTGTATTAATTATGTACTGTAAAGCGCTTTAGAGTGACGTATGTTAGCTAGATTGGGCGCTATATCAAATGCTGTATATTTTTTAAATCAGAGAATCATACCGCAATGTCGATTAATGTAACATGTCTTCTATGCGAAAGGTGTGATGTAACGAAACATGACTTAGTCTATCATGGCATTCCGTCTTGTAATTATGAAATAAAACTTAAACGTTATTTAAAAAAATGTAGATTATTGTTTTTGATATAGGATGGTGCAGAGTTTGTTTTCATTGACTGTTCAGTAGTAAGATAATTTACAGCGGTATGTACCGAGATAAAGATTCGTGTGGTACTAACGCTGAGTGTAAACTTGAGGATGGTCACTACACGTGTGTATGTAAGGCACGACACACAGGGGACCCCCTGAAGGGTTGTACAGGTAAACATTGGATAGATAATGTTGTAAATAATTCCAAAGCATGAGAATAAAATGATCTATACAATTATATACATATTAACTATCATATATCGTATACCAGGACGGCGGTGTTCGATTCCAAAAAATGATTTCCTCCCACATTCAGACCCTCCATTCGCTTCAATCTGGGCCAAATAGACTTTTAAGAAGAAGGAAGAGTTGTTATATACTTGTTGTGACCTACGATTGGTGGATTTACAGCCAATATAAAATCACTTAGATTACGTCACTTAAAGTGATATTTTGCATTTTTTCTTGCCAAGAAACGAACATTAATGTGATATAATAATAATAATAGTTGGAGGTTCTTATATACCGCTTTATCACATCCTAGTTCGTAGGTCGTCTCAAAGCGGTTAACAAATTATTATACGTGGTTATAGGGCCTTTGCAACCAGCCAATACATTCTCAACTCCCTGGGGAGCATACAGCCGGAGCTGCCATTTCGGCGCTAACAGCTAGCATTCAACAATTATAGCACTACCCAACCACGTCCTCACTTACAGCTGAGTAGACTGGAAGAAGCGGAGTAAAGTATCTTGCTCAAAGATACAACACATCGCCGTGCCGTGGCGCGAACCCGCAACCCTTCGGTCACGAGCCCGGCGTCCAAAAACAACGTGAACTGATTTGAAAATCAAGATTTACTAAAAAGAACATGTTAGAGGGACATTTTCTCGCTTATTGTATTACAATATGCTACTGAAGAATTAGGTTTCTTTATAGAAAACATTTCGAACAAGCCGATAGCAAATCACAAAACAGGTAAATTTGATAGATGTATATAATATTATCCATTCTATTTTATCTATATGTCTGAATCCCATGTTATACATGGGAAATGAAGTAGCACAAATATCGAAATTCGTCAGAAATGATCTAACAACAATTGATTTGCATAGATTTTATAAAGGTTTTGCAAACAATAGCCTGTATATTAAATTTGTGGTTTTAAGGAAGGGCACTGATTATAAGGACACATGGGGCATCACAGCTTCTGGACCTCTGTGTCAGTCCTTAATATTCCAATTCATACTCAAGGTGGACTCAATATAACTACCAAATGTAACCCGTTTCATTTTCCGATGAATTTGACCAGATTAACATTGCCTGTACATCTGCGTCTGATTAACTGATAACTATTAACGAAGACTATACCACTTGGTGATATTTTACATTTCTATTGAAACTACACAGGAAATTGTTCAAACAACCAAAAATGCTCAATCAACAAAGTATTATCAGCTCATGGTTGCTAGCGGTAGTGACAAGACATGTACTGCCCTTGAAATTCTCCCTCCAACTATCCATTCTGCCTCTCGTGTCAGTATCAACCCCGGTACAAATCGAAAACTACGTGGATCCTTGTGGCCCCGTCCTATATGAAATGCAGTCGAACAGCCAACCGTCATATCAAATTGTTTCGTCCTTTCAAGACACGTCTGGTTTCCTGTCTAATTCAACGTTCAATTATTGCAGCTTCATATTCCAGAAGATGTAGAACCTCGATATTTAGTGACTCTCCACTTCGACCTAGGAAAACGATAGATGCCCTTGACTCGCAGCTGAGCCTACTAACCGCGTCTATATAATATTCTTCCGCGATCACGCGTCACAAATTTGATATCCTATGAATTCAACAAAAATTAAATATGGAATTTAAAATATGGTTTTGTGTTTGTTTCTGCATAACTTCGTTTTATTGAAATATCAACGGTCACCATCATGTTGTATGATGGTCCTTCAATGACGGACTATATTTTGTTCCATTACGTCAATACGTAAACTTGCATAAGCTCCAGAACCTAGGACAAACTATAAGAATGGACTTCACAAGTTCCAATTATTGAATAAAACGCCCGTTGATTGAAATATAAGGATTGTGACTTGCTTTGAGATGAATTGAGTTCGTTTTTAAACAAATTTAATGAACTGGAAGCAACTCAATTCATCACTATGAAATCGACCAAAGCAAGTTTCAATTCTTAAATAAATTTGTTTTATAAACTGTATACGTAAAACATGAAACGGTTTTTATATTCAACATTGCTTACTTATTTGATGAATATATGCCGCTCCAATCATTGAGGATAACCGACAGTTTCTGGAATGCTGAATATACATTGTACATAAGACTAGTTGTCACAATTTCAGTAGATAATGGCACTAGCTTTTGTTACCGTGTGCTTTTAATATATGATATATTGCAAATAGTCAATATCTGTCATATATACATCATTAAAATACAATTATAATGCAAACGTAATATACACTAGAACTTCAATAAACCAGTCACTACTGGTAATTACAGTAATAATAATAACATATTAATTATGTCTGTACATGTGCGTCTGATGTTGACGCATAATACTTACACCGACCAGCCACTATTAATGAGGTGAAAAAGATGATCGAGGGGCGCAGTGGAAAGCGCACTCGCATTTCACCAAGACGGTCAAGGTTCGAATATCCGGTCAGACGTGAAAAGGTTTTTGGTCACATGCTCGATCATATGGGATTTCCCTGAGAATTCAGGTTTCCTCTCACATTTAGATCCTCTGAGTGCTTTCATCTAGGCCAACATGATTGATTAATATAAGTCGGGAAAAAATGATAATTATTGTATGTAGTGGGCTCAATGTTCAAATTACATAAGGTAGTTTACGTTTATCATAATAACATAAACGATGATTTCGTAAATGTATACAGTTATGGTGTAAGTAACTACTAACCGTGATAGCGTATCTTGGATATGTCAAACCGTTACAACAATCATAGTTAGACTAAACAATACTGTTCCATGTGTTATGCGCATTCAGACAACTAAGCAAATAATTATATTAAAAAGGCTAAAAATTATGCCCTTGACATATTCTGAAGAAGTTGAAGTAAGATCAAGATAAGTAGGAAATATGGAAATTTACATAGATAAATAATTCGAGAAATGTTCACTGGTATAGTAACATCAATAAAGAGAGTGTCTCCATGGAATACCTTAGTCCTTTTTCTGGATATTGGTATGCATGACAACACCGTGAAAACAGGAACAGACTGCATTAATAATTTACACCACTGTGTAGAATAGATAAAATCTATGTTTTGAAAAAATAATACAAAAACCTTTATGCAAATCAAGATAATAAGATTTAAATTAACATTTTCCTTTATGAGACTTCATGATTATGAATCCTCATTCGTGATGAAGTTTTTAATTTAAAAATTACGATTTTATAGGATTTCACGTGTCAGGCAGTTCATCCTAGCGTAGGATTAACCGTACTTGCTTACACGGTCAGCTTTACTGAAAACAGCTTAAAGGCACGTGAAGTGATTCACAAGACAAATTTTACAAATAACGTTTTAAATAAAATATTTGATTAGTCATGTGCCTGTACTTGTGGAAGAGCAAATAGGCCACGTCGAAAACCAAAAGAATCATGTTTCGTGCTGAATACTTGAAATTTCGATAAAATAAAATTTCGACTTGCTTACTGGACATTTGAAATGCTAAGAAGAAGTTTAGGCTCACTGGAAATTTAGACTTATTAACTCAAAGTTTTAATTAATTATATTTCCGACTTATTCGAAATTTCGAGGTAATGCATTGAAATTGGTTCTTTTTAACTCAACATTTCGACATTATTATTTAAACCTTTCCTGAACTTTAGTTTGGTTCATTTTGATAGTGATTTTGATCATGGAACGACAAAGAAATTAACTTATTCTAACATATTACCATTTAGAAGTTAGAAACAATGCGATTTTTGACTTTCATAGTAAATGCATGTGGAATACCTTTATTTATGGTAAATACATGAGTAAGTATCGCGACATTTCGAGTTAGTTAGTCAGATTTTTGAGTTACGAAGTCGAAATTCGAGTTGATAAGTCACAATTAAGAGTTATCGACGATTTATTTTCTAGGCGGTCCTTATGTTCTTCTGTGTGTATTATTTCAGAGTTAAGCGAGTCTAATTACTAGTATATCTAACATAAAGATGAAACTCTAAAGGTTGCTTAGAATAGAATAATAGAATAACAAAGTCAGTTTACACTTCGATATGCCCTTCTTGTGTGACATTTTTCCTTTGGGGACTCGGTATTTACATGATTATAGCTTGAGCTGATTCGGAGTCAATTCAATTGTCCTGAGAGGACGATAGTCCTTCACGTAATTACTTCCCATTATTTCAGTATCCGTATATTTGGAGAGACTGCAACATTTAACTGTTTTACTCAAAGAGCATTACATGTATATGAGAAATTCGAGTAAGTCCTTAGTAACAATTATTTGTAAGTGGTTTTTTTTTGCATTAATAACACCAATGTACATCTTATATTTTCTAAAACTACTATTTTTCTAACACTTTTGCTTAACTATAATTTTCTCTTGCCTTTAAGTACCTCCCTTTATTATCATATTTCAAAAGCTAGCACTTTTCTTTTTTCTACTATATTTCTATAAATAACTTTTTTTAATTACCACTTGTCTTTAACTACTACCATTCTATTACGGGAGTTGAGATAATTCCTTCACTATTGCCTAGTTCAACTGGTTGTTCTTAGTGCGGTGTTCGTGCAGGTTTCTGTTGCTGAGGTTTTGTTCCTCATAATGCCTAGATTACTAATAAGACATGTAGCCTGGTGGCCATAAAGATTTCAAAACACGTTTTCAGAAGCAGCTTATCTTTTTTACCTGCCTGGTTAAACTGATTTTTATATATCGACACATGAATTATAATTAGTTATAACATCTGTTAAAGTTGCGGTATAAAATATCCCGATTGACTGGATCTTTTGTAACTTGGAAAGGTTCTCTTAACGAAAATGACTCGACTGAATCTGCTTATGCTTATTGCCGTTCTGTTTAGTAAGTATGTCTTGTGCATATCGTCTGAAGTGCTGTGTTTTGTTAAAAGGGAAATTTTACAACGTGTAGATAATCGTGATAGCATGTGTTAAATCAGATAGATAAGGTAAAACACTTGCTATGATGTAGTACAAAGGTATTTTCATGCCTTTAAGTGTTCTCATTTGTTTCCAATTTGGCATGCCAATTTAAACATGTTTAATTCATTAACTGTATCAGTTTCTTTATCAAGTAGTAGAATAACGATTCAAATACATTGTATATTGAGGAAAAAAGAGGCACTAACGGATCCCAGTCCGAATGCACTGTGTTTTTTTTCTATATATACAGTAATCTCCCCTTAACATCTCTTTGGGTGTATCTGTAGCACGAATGGCTAGAATACGTCCGTTGACCAGCTAGCTTAACTCATTCACCCCTGAGGACACATTTGAACACTTCCAATTCAAAGGCTGGAATAGTTCATTATGAAATTCCCAGGAGTGAATGAGTTAATCAGTAAGAGATATAGAACAACTATCTCAAGTCCAGGGTTTGAATCCCGGTCTAGTCGCGCTGATTTCCTTTACATCCAGAACACATTTGTTGATTATATTTCATTTTTTCATCTTTATTATTTCTCATTAAATTCCCGCAAAGAACTATTTTTTTTTAGAAATCATTAAATTAAACTATAATCATGCCAGAAAAAACTAATTACAATTTTTAGCAGTTAAATTGGGATCCTTTATTCATTCAGTTTGAAATTCTGTCAAAGTGGACACTTTTCATGGCGTGGTAATCCTCGCGTTTTTCGCGTTGACTGAATAAGGGAAGAGAGGAATAGTGAGAATATTTTTTTATAGATGAATAAAAAATGGAATTGGAAAAATTCGGAGGTTTCAAATGCAAAATTTCCACTCTGCGATCAGCAGAAAGAGGCACAATATAAACATATCCAAACGCGAAAATATCGAGTTTTACAAAACATTGAGTCAAAAATAAAACATATCATATTAAATGTAATACAGTTAATGGTATGGTCGAAAATATTTGACCAGAGGTGCTTGTAGTTGACATGTGTTTAATTATATTGCTCATGGCCGGAGTGCAATATCACAAATAGTCAACTTCCAGCAACGAAGGGCATTGTTTAAAACATGTTTGTTTTAACATGAAAAAGCCATTCAGTAATTGTTTTTCTACATTTATTTTAACAAAGGTTAACATCATTTTTTTTTTTAAATTTAATATACTTACTCAGTTGCAATTTGCTGTAACGGTAGTTCGTTGGAAAATTTCAACGGCAATAATTACTTCTCTCTTTAATCTACTCTGATTTGCCGCTTAAAGCTGTTGTTAATCGTCTACGGCAGCGGATAGCAATTTTTCTGCCATATTGACAGTCAGAAGATAGTAAAAATCGGTATGGTCAATAGTCATAGTCAATTGAACATTTGAAATCAACGTCTTTGTTCTTTGTGGAACATTGTTACATGACGATTACGTTGTATTGGACATAATATCGTGAAATATAAATTGTCATATTGCACGGTCACATGACCCTACAATGCAACGTTTTCAAGACAAATGTAACGATTTAGTAAGTGTAATTTGGAAAATAACAGGAAAATATTATTTTAAATATTAAGAGAATGAAAAATAGGCATTATTTAATAAAATGATATGTGTGTGTATATCGTGTGATTTTAATCTGCCATCTGAAAGAAAAATAGTACATAATTATGTTGCTGTTTGAACCAACTCGACGATATAGACATTGTTTGCTACAATTCATAAGAACCTGTTTAGGTTTGTTTTAACATGTTTTTTTAATGTGCTATTTTCGTTGTTTTAAATGCTTCGCTATTTTTTTCAAATAATATTCGTCAGTCGACCGTTTAATCTTATATTAATAACATGTCATTTCAGATATTTCACAAACAAATGGCAATTTACTAGGTGAGTACAATTTATCCTGATTCTACTTTCTCATTGTCCTATCATCAGTGTAATATTGTTAATATCAATGAACTAGTCAAAGGAGTATTATTATTGATAAAGTAAATGATCTAGTTCCAGAGTAATACTAAAAGCATAAATCGTCTAGTCTAGATAGTAATATCATTGAATTATATTCTTCAGTCCGAAGAGTACTACAGTTCAAAAAGTTCAACATTTATATTGATCATTTTCTTGTCATTGTGTTATCGATATCATTTCTGTATTACAATTTGAAAATTGTAGCAAAAGTAATAGGCGCCGTAGATCATAGAGTAAACGGATTGAAAGCAGCGTTACTTCCTGGACACAACAAAGGTAAATTTCACGCCAAACTCGATGACATTTTCTGATCAGCTAAAACAAAGATACAGTAATTGCTGTGAATCCTACAATCCATACAGAAATGAGCAAACTACTTATATGTTTGCGGTAGTTTAATGTTGACGATATTGATAGCTGTGTCGCAATCAAAATAGTGTTTGATCAAAGTGTAAAAAAACCCCATGTTATTGCTGGTTTTCAGATTTTAGTTTACAAACCGGTATATGTTTAACTAAGAAAATCACATGTAATCTTACTGATTATAATGGTGTTAATTGCATTAGCTAGTGTATACACATAATATTTTGGCTGTCTTTGGTAAGATGAGATCAACTGCGAATAAACAAATAATTATGTATCTTTCAAATTGGCAATGTCATCACATTTGTTTTTCATTGCAGTCTGACTGAACTAAACAACATGTTCAGGTTTTCAAAACAACGGCAATACAAGAATCATTATAATAATCCGGATATTTTCGTCCGTACCCTTTTCTTAAGTTATTCCATATCAAATTTTGGTTTATGGTTTTTGTAAAAATGCCCCTGTTACTTCTTTCAAAGCGGATTCTAATTATATCCCGCATGGGCATTTGTTAGTATGGGAAATACGCGTGAGAATCCAAAGTGACTGCCATGACCTCTTATTGGAGCGATTTTAGAAATTGTTTGATTCTACTTATTAACTGCAAACTCTACCGCTACATCGGTTCCCCGATTTAACATGATGCCACCATATGCTCGCTTCTAATTTGTCGAAATGAAGATTTTGTCTAATTTGACTCAGATGTGGTACATGTATGTTGGTGAATTATAGCTTTTCACGGTCTTTATCGTGCATTTAAAAAGGTGATTTGCTACAATTAGTTTTGAATACCCATGTAATGGGATTCATTTAAAGCAGATTATTTTTTTATTATATCATACTGTTAATAAACGAAAACACAATAGCAATGATTGTTAGGTCTACTCACCTGGTTAACGTCTACCTTTTTTGGTTAATATAGAAATTCCCTCGCGCTTATGAATAACGCTCGTAAAAACTTAAGTACGAAAGGTAAACACGATGTCTGAATTCAAAGCGATGTGATAAAAACGATCTAATAAGAAACGGAGTTATGTATATAATGTGAAATAATGTATGTATTTTAAAATAGATGTATCAGTGTATATATCACATTTGATATATCACCGTTGATAAGTGTTTCTTGCATTACAACCAAACCATTCATATGCAGGACAGGACCAACATAAAGTGATCTGTGAATCACAAACTAAAATAATCGGATGTAGGGATGGAGGCTTAATCAAAATCACCAATGCTGTATACGGAAGACTGAACAAGCTTACATGCTTAAATCTGTTGTTGTTGTTTTCCAACACAAATTGCAAATCATCCTCATCTTTGGAAAAGGTTCGAAACAGCTGTGAGGATAAAACCCATTGTGTGTTATCTGCTAGAAGTTCTGTATTTGGTGATCCTTGCCCTGGAACGAACAAATATTTGGAAGTCACATACAGATGCATACCACCAGGTAAATATGCTATGTATATATGATGTTTAATTAACATGCTTAATCTTGTTCCTAGCAACTTCTATAAATTGATAACATTTCCTTAAGTTGTAAAACATGACCTTAAAAAGCCTCCAAAGGGACCATAACTTAAACAAATTTCAAAGATTATTACTCGTTGAATTTTCTTGGGTTATTGCCCTCATTTAGTACCGCTTATGAAAACTAGTGTAAAATCTAAAATCATATCCATTTTAAATAAATATTCAATGGACCAAACATATGCATTCCGAAAAGAAACATTCCAAGCGAATCGAAAAAAAAACCCACATTTTTTTTTAAGTGACAATTAAGAACACAAACACGTGGACCATTTAAAGAAAAAAAAAATACAGCAAAGATCGCAGTCATCATTATCATCATTCTAGAAAGTCCAAGAACACAAAAAAACGGCATTCCTCGGGGTAATACCATAATTATTTTTATCAAAAAAGCACAAAGACACAAGAAAAGGATTCCAAGTGAAAACACCATCATCATCATTCTCAATTAAGCAAAGAGCTCAGAGAAAAAGATATTCATTATTCTAACGCAATTCAGGAAATAGAGTAACCTGACATTCCAAAGGGCGAATTCCCATGAAAGGTACATTTTTTTGTAGAAAATATATATTGAGGTTATTTGATAAATTACTTAAATTGTTATTCAAATATATACAGGACGAATCTGGTATTATTAAGATATTGTTTCCATCTTAGAGTGTATTCTTAATTTGTTTTAAATTATCGCCATTACTAGAGATCTATTGTTTTAAGTCATCGGTACAGTGCAAATAGAGCAATGTGTTTGTTCCATAAATAGTCGAAATAAGTCGAAAACATACTAAAGGATACCCTATTCTTTGACATTACCTACTTATGAACGTCTATGGTGACCCAAGAGCTCCTCATGTGTTTTCCCAAATAACTCGTGAATTAAACCAGTAACTGGTTGAAAACGAGCACATACTGCTTTTGTCACCCAGGGACGACTGAAAATTCGTAACAAATCATCACTAACACTCATTTTCCATACGCTGCGGTTGTCACAATTTGAAAGGGTGAATATGTTGGCTTGCCGTCAAAACATAAAATATTTGTTGATTCGTCTGGACCAAATTTGAACCAAGTCCAATTGTCTGCAAAGTTTGAATAAATTTCAAGCCAGGTGCAAGGACCGCTCTTGAAGACCTTCAAAAAGGGTTGATGCATTTGCGTTATCACATTGTTTCTGCGAGTAAGACCGCGCGAACATTGCTTGGTCGTCGTGTATCGTTTAACACAACGTCACCGTAACTTCAATAATACTTATGCCGAATCAACCGTTATTTAGTATTATGCAAGTGGAATAATGCTCACAGATGAATCTATATTTTGCTGGTGACATGGAGAGGGGAGACATAGTTTGGAAAGGTTGGGCTGAACGCTTTGTGGACTGCTGCGTCGCTGAACGTTACCGTTTTGATGGCATTAGTTTAATGGTCTGGGTGGGTAATTGTTATGATAACTGCGCAGGACTTGTTTTAGTGACAGGGAATCTAAATTGTGCTCGTAATCTTTGCATGATTTTGAAGACGGTGATAATCTTGAGTTTCAACGTCAAGTCGTTGGGGCTATCTTTGACAACAAACGCACCAGCGCATACCAGTCGCGTCACCAAAAAAAAGATGATCAGGTGTTGCATTGCCCACTTAAATTATCTGTCACACATAAAGAACGTTTGGCTACGATTGTCATACGCTGTACTAAGCAAATGACTTATGAACCTCGATTTGAACTGTGATGGCGGTTAATAATATCAATTTTGCACGGTATTTCCCTGATTTATGACAAATTATTGTATCAACGCTTCAGTAAATATATTGATACTAATTTGAGTAAAATTTCAAAAAACAATATAAATCTATCTCAGCTGAAACGGTTGTTTACCCTTCTTAATTGCTGAGTATAAATATATAGCTTGGTCATATAGAGATGCTGTTACAGTGTAAAGGGACTTTATTTTGATTGGGTCTGAATCTGAAAGTATTTCAACTCCAAGGCTCGAGTAATTATTCACACCCTTGTTACTACTTGTGTACTATGTGTGGATGACACCATAATTTTGGTTGTGATATTTATGCATAAACATGTTAAAATACTGGTATATATAGTTTATGGTTGAGTGGTTACCTTTCGGTAATCTAGCTTAGACAAAATGTCATGCTTTTGACAGCGTTTTTCCTAGTCACTAGGTCATCTATCACGTGACTCGATATGTCCAGTTTCACTTGACACTGTGTCAACATAGATAGGTAGGGGTAGCTCGTTTCTGCTCTATAAGCTCTCGGACACCTATTCTGAAGTTGTCTTTACGGGCGTAAATGTTACTCTCTCTGGGCTTGTATTCACGTGACAGTTCTCATGCTCAAGCATAGTTTCTGTGCTCAAACAAACTTTCTTGTAATTCGCTTAAATAATTTCAAATGATCAAAAAGTCAAATGTAAACATTGAAACAGTATTTGACTTCAAGTCTCTTCAAAATGTTTTCAAATCATTGACAAAACAAGATCTATTTATTAAGTTACAACAGAAAAAGAAATAAGACTTAAGTGTCATCCTTTTAGTGTTATTAATGCTATCCTGATGGAATCGTGCTCTTTAAATGCATTATTGAAAGCCAAAGGCGTAGCTGTTTCCCAGTGTTTGCTGTTTGCTTCCTTAACACAGAGCCTTCACATGGGAAGGGTGCTGTTATAATGAAATTATCACAGATAAAATCGATCATTTTCTTCTGCAAAATTTCTGATCGGCTGTTCTCTCTCTGAAGCGCAGATGGAATGTGGGACAACATTGTAATGCTCGAACAATCAGGAACATATCTAAGAAACAGTGATCAAGATGTTTTTTTTAAAATGGACCAGGCATAAGAGTAAATAAGGACATGATCCCGAAAATATTTAACGAGTAATGTTCTATGTTTGTTTAAGTTTATCAACTGATAAAAGTAGTTGTGTGTCCTTCCCAAGATAAAGTATTCTCTATCTCCTATTAATAGAAATCAAAAACAAATTAATTCGGACGATGATGATATTTGTGATCATCAATCTTTATTATTGATTCTATTCCATTTTATGATTGGAAAATGTGTTGCGCAGCTGTTTGTCAGAATACCATCTGCTCTATTGGATAATCTGATATCCTACCAAGCCAAGTGGCGATCATACACACAATATATTCTATCTTTCATTTTCTGTCTCAATTTATGTCAGAAGATAGAACTTTAACTCATCAACTACTTTCTTAGGTAAAATATGTTCGATAGATAATAATGTGACAAAGAAGAATAATCTTCGCAACTGCCTACATTGTTGGGGTTCCAGATAATTCTCTCAACACGGAAGTCGGGAAGTAAGAATTGTTAACAGTGTTGTCTATCGTTTTTTACATAGACATGAAATGAAAATTACAGGAAAACTTCATAGATGATCTAATGTCTCAATATAACTCAATTTCAAATATGATATACAAATGAAGTTGTTTTTTTAGTAAACTAACTAAATATAACAATTGTATGCTTTCGATAATATTTGTATGAAACTTAATGCGAACCTACTACATACTCATTGATTGATAAACTCTTATTTCTCGTCAAGTACCTGAAACGTGTGGGAAGTTTCCAAAGTGTCACCCCAGCGCCGTGTGTGTTGACAATGACCATTGTGAATGTAAAGCTCCCAACCAGGGTGACGGCATCAAAGGATGTTACCGTGAGTATTAGCGCACCATTACCAAATAATACAGAAACAATTACATACGTCACGAGTTTGGACTCACGCATGGCGATTCTATCAGCATATGTTAAGTGCCAATCATAGAATGAGAGTTTCCAAAATATTAAACATACAGGAAGTGAGCATCATGACACACGTATTATGATTAAAGAACATATAGGTTTCGTGTTTCTTCTTTTGTGCATTGTTCTTGCTCACTCGATTTTTCAGTCAGTATATCTCGATGCTTTGTTTATTGACAACATTTCTTTTCAAATTATTTGTTCATTTACAAAATATACTTTGAAATAATGTTGTATCAGATGTTTGATTATCAATAATAAACACATTTCGGAAAAGAATCACCAGATATTATCTCTAACAAGACTAAATATTCCTATTTCAGTTTTTGATATATCTTATAAATTTTAGCGTCACAGTTAAATGGTTATCAACGTATTGTAACCCTTAATGAGGAAAATACTGGTTTTGACTTCTTGGCGATTTTAAAGATATCAGTGTTTCAAAGAACATATGACAAAATAAATGAAAAAATAATATTATTGAATTAAAATGTGATTTATATTCTTAACTGATATCCGCTTGAAGAGAGTCTGGTTTTGTCATAAATAATAACTAAATGTAATAGATACGGCGGTTAAATTTTGATTTACCATTAAGGATGTACTCTTCTGAGGTTTCAATCACGTTCAAGTCTCGTTTTGATCTGTTGTAAAAGGTTTTTGTATTTAACAAAGTATGATCAAGTTTATTAGCAAACACACATCTGAAAAATATTTAAAAAAACTAGATGTCTGTTGCTTGTAGAACTTTTTTTACAAGAATTTAGAAAAAATACAAATGAGTATTAATGTGTATTTCTTAGGCTTCAAAAAAGGCAAAAAAATCACCTTTTTTGACACTAGATTGATCACTTAAGTTGTCATTGTGTCGTCATTTTTAATTATAGCAGGTTCAATTTTGCTGTACAACTTTATAATGTTTAATATGATAAAAATAATATGCAACAAACTGGAAAATTATACATTATTGATATTTTTTTTTACATATTTAGTGTAACTGAAGCACTTTTGATTTTTGGCCCCGAAAAAGGTAAACAATAACACAAATGATAATGGGACAAAAAAAGAAGCACACCGACCCCCCATTTTTATGGATGTTTTAGAAAGAGAAACACATTTTCGTTTAATTCATTAAATATTAAAAATGTTTAATACCAGAACTTTTTATATCAAGCGTTTAATCTGCAAAAAATGGTAAAAAAATGAGTATCTTTTCATTAAAAAATAGGGGGTAGGGGTAACTAAAATCGGCTTTCTGAGTTAAAAGAATAAGATTAAGAAATTTTACTTCCATAATTTAAAAGAAAATAATATTTTTATTAATTCTACAAACATTCATACATATCTGATAACACACTTGAAAGAAATTGTATGAATTTGTTCCGCAAATGGTCAAAACCCAAAAAATCACCTAAAATAACATGTTGTGTTAAATTGGTATCTTTGATCGATCATAGCACAAAAACGAACACACCGACATATCGTTTTTTTGCATTTTCTACTTTGCCATTAACTCCTTTTTACAAACATCCATATAAGAAAAAAAGTTTAATACAGGAAATTTTTGACTTCTCAGAGGTGTACATCCTTAAGTATAGTGTGTATATTTACGATGAAGTGTATGTTTATATCAAATAAAGAGAGATGTTGCTCTGATTTATCAATTGTCAAATAAAATCTAAACGGAATTTTAAACATTTTTTCGTTGAACATCATGTCAACTAATCTCGAGTTTCCCCTAGTTCAAGAGACATGTTTTGGTGCGTTCCGATGTCATTAAGATAATGAAGTACAGTGTTTTATATTTTTCTTTTCAGCTGTTTGTTGGTGTCAGGCATCCGGGGACCCTCATTACATAATGTTTGATGGACAGCGTGTCGATTTCATGGGTACCTGTAAGTACACTCTGTCCCAGTACCAAAAGGTGGGAGACACATGTTCGTACGCTGTGGAGGTGAAGAACGAGCATAGAAGTGGATATACACACGTGGCCTACACGCGTCTGGTTGACATCAGAGTTTTTGACACAACCATTAGGCTTCACTTACAGAAACGTGTCTACGTACGTAATTAACCATTTTGTTTCGACTACAGCAATGTATGTAAATGACGCTTATGTCGGCATAAGTAATGTTTTTAGATTAAACACCTATGTAGACTACATCAATGTGTGTATTTACCGCTTAGGTCGACTACAGCTATATGTATAAATGACGCTCATTGCGACTACAGTAATGTTTTTTCTTTTAACGCTTATGTCGACTATAGAAATGTATGTAAAGAATGTTGTGTCCATTACAGCAAGTATTAAATAACACTTATGTCGACTTCAGCATTGTATCAAATAACACTTATGTCGCCTTCAGCATTGTATCAAATAACACTATGTCGACTTTAGCAAGATGTTTAAATAACACTTATGTCGACTTCAGCAATATGTTTAAATAACACCTATGTCGACTTCAGCATTGTATCAAATAACACTATGTCGACTTCAGCAATATGGTTAAATAACACTTATGTCGACTTCAGCATTGTATCAAATAATACTATGTCGACTTCAGCATTGTATCAAATAACCCTTATGTCGTCTTCAGCAATATGGTTAAATAACACTTATGTCGACTTCAGCAATATGTTTAAATAACACTTATGTCGACTTCAGCATTGTATCAAATAACACTTATGTCGACTTCAGCAATATGTTTAAATAACACTATGTCGACTTCAGCATTGTATCAAATAACACTTATGTCGACTTCAGCAATATG